CTGGGAATAATATATTATAAGTAGACTGTAGACTGAAATGGTATGTGTGAACGTTGCAATGTTTCAAAGACTAAGTTTTATAGCAGATTTTGATTCCGTCACTGTTTATGTATTTTCTTATTTTTCAGTAGGTTCCTTTTTATTATTGTTAATTGATCAGATCAGTGGATGTATTGTCCTCAACTTTTCAATTATTTGTATTGTAAGTGTACTCGTATTGGTATAACACTATTCTGGCTATCAATAAAGTCGTAATAAAAATTAGGAAATTAGTATGGTATGATATTTTTTGGTACTCATGTATTTCTTTTGAGTAGATAATTCGCTCAATGATATTTAAATATTTTCACTGATAATTAAGTACGATGATTTGTAGGTAACTAGAAACTGAGTGAATAGGAATAGTGTGTATGATATGATTGATATGGCGAAGATAAGGAAAGAGGTCAACAGGATTTCAGAATGTTTGGTGTATGAATGGGAAAGATGAAAAAGAAATGTAAGGTTACTGGTTAGGGTAGGTAAGTGTAGTGAGAGTGGCAGATATGAGAATGTTAAGTTGAGTGTGTAAGGGACAAAAGAGGATAGAATAAGATATTAGTTGATTAAATGTACGTAGTGTAGGAGTGGCTTAGGTATATATTTTAGTGAAAACAAGAGAGACTAGGTTGAGGTGGTTCGGTCACTGTATGATAAGAGGTAGTGAGAGAAGCTAATAGAAGTAAATGTAGGGGGAAAGTGAGAGGTGAGAAGACTGAAGAAGAGATGGATAGACAGAATACCGATGATATAGAGGTGCAGGAATAGAGGGTGGCTGAACCTGTATATTTGTGTCAGAAAAGAATATTTTATATTACACCTATTCATATTATTATTACTAATAAGTACGCGTATAGCTGTAAGCGCGGTAGCTGGTAAGTTTAATTAATATTATTATTATATAGGTACATATACCTAATTATATACTTAGAAGTTTCAAGCACCTACGAATAATATTTTAAAATTATAACACAAAACTAAAAACTTTCTTCGTTAAATATATAATTTCGTCCAAACTTGAACTTCAAATAGCTATCTGTGTTTAATGTTTATATAGGTATACTTAACCTATATATTTTAGATTTTTTAGTTACACTTGTGAAATAATTACGGGTGGAACCTTATTTTAAATGTTTTATATTTAGCTATACAAATTGAACATTTTATAAATTGTTAACAGCAAAATAATGTATGAATTTTTAATGTGATAAAATAATTTTTCAAAATTTGAGCTTTAAAAGTTTATAAAAAAGTCTTGCCTTTGTATATTTTTAAACTGATATTGTAACCATTTCTTATAAACTTTCAACTTTGTATTACATTTTCAAGCATTTTAACCCAACAAATTAACATTTTATTGACATTTACAATTTATAGAAAAAAAAACTATTGTAACTATAAGTCCAAGTGCCATTGATGGGTGGCTTCTATTATTCATACTTTCGGGCGTCACAGTTTTCGGCCAAAACATACTGTTCCTTTTACAATTATAACAACTGAACTTAACAATTTTTGTATTTAATTTAATATAATTGTATCCAAAAATGGTTTAATGTAATCGGAAATCTTAATATTTTGACATATTCATGAATTCATATTTTACTCTAATAACTATATATATATTTTTTTTTTTTTAGTTGAGTGACTTATTCTACTTTTTTTCGTGACACATGTTTACATTAATCTTTTAATTTGGGCAAAATATGACTTAAAAAAATTTATAAATGGGTGGTGCAGCTAAATATATTAAAATTTAAATTACCGCAAACTGCTCAAGAACCGAAAATAATTTCTGGTATGTTTAATAAACAGACAAAACTTAATCCAATAAGCAAGCAATAAAAAAAAAAATATAAAACAATTTAAGATAATATTAGTTTGTAAATATATCGTATAAATATATAAGAGTAATAGAGTATGGACTATAATAAGTGATGATACAATTGATTTATAGATAATGTAGTTGATATATTTTCAAAAATAAAAAAAGAAGATATTCTAATAAACTACTAATATTTTTGTTTATCAATATAAATATTACCATATAATAGTTTGGTGAATTTTAATTGATATAGGTAGGTATGCAATTGTTTTTATAATATATCTGCTACCTTATTATATTTAAAAATGATGTTACCTAGTTAATAAAAAGGGTACCATAAAAAATGGAAGTAGATAATATGTGGTTGCGAGCGAAGAGTGTGGTTTTTTTTTTACCCATTAAGGCCGGTCAAAACCTTTGCCCTCCTCTATTGAAAACTGAAATGACGCCACTGTAATTAACCCGCGGAAACTTAGGCCATCTGGCCATTGTGTATTTGTGTGGTTTTTAACCGTGGGGGAGGGTACTGTAGGTTTTAAACACTTGTGTTTGTTAGTTTTGCAGATTTGTTAGTGTTCAGTGGGCACCCATTGGTATCTGCCATAACCGTGTGGGGGACGGAGGCACTTCTCTCTGGACACCGTGACTTAGCCGAGGACAATTAATAATAATGACGCCCGCGGCCGAGGTTTTGAACCAGTGTCGGTGCGCGCGTATGACTTTATGACTATATAATAATTTTTATTCGATTTATGGAAGTAATAACATTGATTATAAATACTAACATAATAATATAGTCAATTGTAATAATAATATGTTATAACAGTTTATTACCAATTGTTTTATTTTTTATATTTTTCACTTTTTCAGTATTTTTTACAGTTGTTGGTATAATAATGTTTAAAAAAATCACATTTTTGGATACAAATATACAATCATATTTAATTAAATATAAAAATTGTTAAGTTCAGTTGTGCTGGCCGAAAAGGGGGCCTCAGGCCTCTCCATACTTTCATGCATTTTTGTTCTGTCACTTCATGAACTTATTGTGCTAAATAGTACAGATTTTGCATACCTTAGTAAAAAAAAAAAATTAATAATAATTGTAACTTAAAGACGAAACTAAGCTTTTTCTATAAATTTTCTTTTATCCGTATAGTGGCGTAGTCTTCATATATTGATTGAAATTTATCAGCTGCAGGTAAATACTAAATTCCAACGAGTTGGAATAGTGTTTTACAATTTACATATTTCATTTCGTTTTCCGTCGTGGCTCAAATTACCAAATTAATTTTTAAATGTGGCGTAAAATGCATGTTTTAGCTCATATTAGTAATAAAATTGGCGAAAAATACCATCTCCCAATCCAATAATTACCTATTTCATTTTTTTTCCCGGTTCGACCCAATTAACCGATAAAAATTCATTATTGGGACCTATAATTTATCAATTAGAGTTATTTATCTAGATTTATTATAACCTTTTAGGGCTTTTTTCCACAATGAATCGTGGTAGTCTGTCGACCGTTCCGTTTCTCTTTACTCTTCAGTCACATCATAATATGTGTACCTTGCACTAATTTGAACAAAAGAGAACCACTCCAGCCACACCTTCTATGTCCCGTCCTAATTCGTTTTTTTGTTGTCCATTTTTTCCTTGGTAATAGCAGCATGTCTTTCATATTCCATTATTCTGACCGGGTTTTTCGGACGTAACACTGGTATTTGTTGTCTCCGTTTTACAAGTGCGTAACATAGCAAATTTACGCTCAGCAGAACACGTGTAGCTTCGTTAGTTTAAAAATTAGAGTGAATTGACCTATTATGAAACTTGATGATAAGAATTTTATCTGTGTTTGTATGTTGGTTTTTTACAATAGTTCAATTTTTTAGCAAGTTATGAGTATAATATATATATATAATACCGTGTGTTCAATTTTAAAGGTAACAGGAAATATTTCGATCGTATGACCTTGAATTTGATTCGGGGTTTTTATACTGCATATAGGACTTATAAATACATATTTTTTTAATAAATTCAAATTTTTATTTTTTTTTTTATCAGCGCAGTAAAATAAAAATTTCTTAAATAGCAACCACTATTTTGGAGACCGGATTTCGATTTCTTTATTTTTTCTGAACAACTTTGATCTTTACAGTTTGTTGATATCTTCAAAATTGCCAACGAGATCTTTATTTGTGTCATGTGCCATAGCCCATTCTTCGCTTCCCACTTTTATACCACAATATTTAAAATTATAGGGTTTCTGCTGTCAGGCGTCAGCGATGGTAATTTTCTGGATTTCGGTCTACTTATTGGTATAATAATTGGTACCTACCTATCTCTGTGGATATCTAATACAGTACCTAGTGATCCATTGTGATTCGTCATCTTAATGCGATTGTTATGATGGCAATAGCTTTTCTATGAATGTGGCGAGCATAGGTCTATGGTAAAACCACAGAATCCAAAAATTATTTGTTTGGTCAAAAGGGTTAAAATTTCAATACAAGCCACAAGATTCCTAAGTTGTTATCATAGCTGTTAAAAAATATTATAGATAAAGATAGTTACATAGGCAAGATTATTTTCTATAAGCATTTAAAGTTCAAATTTTGACAAAATTTGCAATTTATTTTGTAGTTAATAATCAAACATATATAAAAATATGAAAATATTTTCAACATTTTCAAAATAAAAATTACTGTTAATTTAAAAATAATAGCACATTAGCACAGATAGCCGATGGGTAAGATAGGTACCTAGGTAGATTATCCAAAATGCAATTAATGAAAATAAATTGAATTCCTCTAGAATTGAAAGAATTCTGTGATAAAATCACAATGAAGAGAAGATCAGCTCTACATCGTGGATAAAAATAAAAACGAAGAATAAATTGATAACATATATAACTGATAAGTTTTAACATAAACACATAATTTTATCAATTTACAATAAATTGCTTTCTATTTTCCTTACAAGAGTTACAAAATATAAATACAAGTAGGTATAATGTAATAGTATTCACAAATATTGAATTATTCACAGAAAGTTTGGATGTAATCAAGTAAAAAGTTTATAGTATGTAGATTTTATTCAAAATTCACAATAATGAAGAAGTTGTAGTAAAATAAAAGCAATGACTACCGAAGGGCTTCCAGGACTGTCAACTACTGAAGCTTTACGCACATTATATAATGAAATATTGTCGCTCAGAAATCATATTAAAGATCAACACATACAACAGTACTATACTAATTTTTATTTCATGTCCTGTTTAGTAGTAATAATATAACAATAATAATAATAGTAATAATAATATATTTTTAATAGGGGAAAAGACAGACTATGGATTCAAGATGCATTGAAACATAATAGTCCATTCACTAGTATCTGTTGGATTACTGCTTTGATCATTTTTGCTTGTGGTTTTTCATTGATCATCATTAGTTTAGTGTATGATGAAATGTGGTATCTGTTTGATGATGGAATATTGATATTGATATTGTTAACTACCAATCTTGCTACTGTATTATGGGATAACAAATTAAGACATGAAGAAATGTTCACCAAGCTCGATCATGTGATGAAAAAACTAAATTGTGAGAAAATGTTAAAATAGTTAAAATAGTTTTTAAAATTAATTTTTGTTTATTCTTAACTTAAGGCTATAAAGACAAATGCCATTGGAAGAAAGAAAATTATCCACATTTATGTATGCCATTTTCTCCTTCAGTTACTTTACAATGGACTCAACGTGATGGTGTGCTAGTAAATTTACCTTGGGCATTATTGGTAAAAGGTGATATAGTACTTTTGAAACCAGGACAAACTTCTCCGTGCCATGTTTCCAGGCTTAGGGTTTGTGATTTATAATATATCTGTATAGTGATATACCTATACTGTTATCTACAATTAAATATAATTTATAAATACATTTGGTAACTTATAGTTAAAAGATATTTAAAAAATGTAAAAATTATCTATTCTAGAATTTTTGATTTAATGTGAGTGATGTTTGTTTGAATAGTATTATTTTTATTTCAAGTCATCGATAACTTTAAGTTATCAAGGATCTAAATTTAATTAGTTTATAACAATCTTCATGGTAAAATGTTTTTAATTAATTCAATCAGTTCATGTACATTATTATTGTACACAAATTATTATTAAGATGATAATATTTTTCTATTGAGTATATATTTTATAATATATATGCAGGGATTAAAGTGAGGGGGGTGACGCAGGAGGACTCAGTCCCCCTACCTCTGATGGCGGTTAAAAAGCGCCCGCTTTATCAAATTAGGATTTTATACATTAGACATTATACATACATGAAACGCTTCAAACTATACGGAGACATTAGTCCCCTCTGAAATTTTTTCTCACTTTAACCCCTGTATATATGTTACCGTAAATTTCCGATCACCAGGTAATCCTAGGTTTTACTTTTTGTACCCAGTAAATACTGAAATTCTTAATTTTATTTGGGCTTTTACTAAACACATTGTGAAAATCATAGGATGTACAAATTCACTTAGTAAAAGCTTATCAATTCACAACACATGACATTTAAGTATTAAGCTGCTTAAAAATTATAATTATATATTATTAAAACAAACTACTGACAGTTATTCAAATTCTTTCAAAAAAATCATTTTAAAAACAGAATTATTATAACTAACCTAAATGAAATGCTGAATTTTTCATTGCTTGAACAAATCATAAAGATTCAGACCATTTTGTATTATGATTAGTTTCCATCCAAGTAGCTATCATAATTTCTATGCCTTGATTAGCTCGTTTGACCGATCCTTGAGAATGCCATGAACTATTTTAATGAGGAAACATTTCACATACACTGGTAACAATTTTATTTACAAATTCTCAACTTTTATCAGAGTGTTGTATACTAGGAGCTCCAAAGAGAGCGAATATATCTAGAAGTTAATATGCAATTTCTTCTGCTCGTTTACACCACAGAGGCCGTATAATAACAAATTTGGTCAGGTGATCTTGATACACTATAATGTATTTAAAATCATTATCTGGGTTTGATTGCATTTCAATCAAATCAATTTGAAATCGAGAATTCATTTCATTGTGCAATATCGGGTTAACAACGAGTCCTTTTGTTTGCATGTTTCAGTCATTTTTATGTATATTTTTGTAGCTTCCAAAAAAAAATTTAAAAAAAGATTTTAAATAATCTTTGCAAAATAATTGTTATTAATCGTTGCATGCTAGGATTGTTGGTGTAATTGCTAGAAAAAATATACAACTTAAAATGCATTTTTTTTTTTATGTACAAATAAATAATAATTCTGTTTTTAAAGATAACGTGTTGACTGTTTAGTAAAAGCCCGAATAAAATTAAGAATTTCAGCATTTACTGAGTACAAACAGTAAAACCTAGATTTACCTAGTGATCGGGATTTTACAGTAACATATAAAATTTATTTATTTATACTACTTTATGTTAAGAATTGTATTATTTTTATACATACCCAACAGTGGCGTGCTATAGTATTTAAAGCTTGGTAATAGCAAAAAAAAAAAACTGTTACAAATGTAAATTATAATTTAAAAATAAAATCTTTTATAATTAATTATCATAATAGATATTGTAAATTTGCATTTAAAAAAAAAAGTGCGGTAGCAGAAAATCCTATTCTAATTAATGTATTTATAATTGCTCAATGCCGCGCTTCCAACTTCTGCATAAAACAGTTTTCACCCCGCCCTAACATATCCTGCCATGTCTACTGTATAATGATTCAGGTCAGGTAATCAAAATCCTGAGTACTTTTGTTATATTGCATACCTAAATTACAAAATAATTGAATTCCATAATTTATTTTTTCTAATTTTTAATATAATACAAATAATGCAGTTATATTACATCTATAATAAAAAACTTATGTTACAACATGAAATATTGTCAATTGACATTATAAATTTTATTTATTTATTTTCTTTTTTTTTTTAAGCGGCATGCCCACTGGCTACCTCATCCTAACCACAAGTCACTGATACCTAACAATTATTATTTGTATTATACATTTCTGTAATAAAATGTATTTTGTTGTAACCAGGAAAAAGATAAATGGGCTCCAGCTGAATTGACTAGATGGGAAATATTTAATCCAGATATTGCATCTGCTACGAAAAACAAAACCGCTGTACCAACTATGGTATCTCGCAATCCATTAAAAAATGTTGCATATGTTTTAAATGAAACCCCATATTTAAATAATTTGAAACTTGCATTAGAACTATCACAAAATAGACCAAGCAGCTTTTATACAAAATGCTTATATTTGTTACAAATAATATTCATGCAAAAGTTTGCTGCAGCCACCTTTTTGGTAAATATATATATATATATTTTTTTTACCAAAAATGAAATTAAAATTTTTTATATGAATATTTTTTTGTCATTTAGGGAAGTACCATTTTAACTGTTTGGTGGCGTTGGTCTTATGTTACACTTTGGTTGAAATCTGGTACTTGGGTATCAATGTTTGTTGTAATCCCAATCTCTATACTTATTCCACTTCTACCATTGATGTTGCCAATTGCATGGACACTCATGACATGTTATGGAAACGCAGTACTACAATCATCTTCCATAGTTCAGGTGGCTAAAATATAATAACTAGATCCTTTCTCACAAACAATATTTGTCTTAAATAATCTTTGTTAACCCGAATGTTGAAAAGTAATACATTTTGATAATATTTCACCATACAAAAAACATAATTATTACCTATTAGGCTATATCATAATATTTATTTTATTAATATTTACTATTATTTATTTTTTCAAATTGTTTTATCTAGTATCTACATTATGATAACATAAATATTAGTACACTTTTGTTAAAAGTCAAATGCTCTACACTACTGTATCATTATTATGTTACAAGTTTAACAAAATTGAATCATTATTGATAGTGTTGTATTATTATAAATATCTTCATAAAGGTGTTTTCACATTAGATCCTGAACATAAATGAATGCTACTGAACGAACCAATGTAAACAGGCTAGCCAAACATAAATTAATGTATTTGTTTGACTTATAAGCATTCGCTAAAATTAGTTCAGTAGCGTTCATTTGGGTTTAGACTCTAATATAAATGAACCTGTTAATGGTTGTTTCATTGTAATATTGTACAAATATTTAATTTTCTCATCTTTCAATTTTTTGAACATCATGAGTTTCTAATTGATTGATTATCATAATTTAAAATGAATCATCTCCACCATACCAAGAACTCTTTATATATATGTTAAACATTGTATTTTATTTAAATATATTTTTTGTTTTAGAAAAATAAAGACCTTTTTGAAGAAACTGAAACTGAAGCAAAAAACAACTCTTTAGAATTTTCATTTAGGTATTTATTGAAAAACTTTTACTCTTGTGTACTTGGAAATGGTAGTTTCTTACATAGATCTACTAATCTATTGCATGTTATGGGATCCGTTACGGTAATTTATTTAAATTAATATTTAAATTAAATACCAATTTCTTATTGTTTATTTGTTTTAGGCTTTATGTTGTGTTGATAAAAAAGGTATACTATCATGGCCTAATCCAACCGCTGAAAAAGTTTTTTTTTTACAAAATCCTTCCAAATCGTCATCAATCTCAAATTATGTAGATACTCCTAACTGTAATAGAGAAACACAAAGAAAAAGTTATGATAGTACTATTCAGAATCAAGGTATATGTTCATGAAATTATATAAAACTTACTGGATTTTGAATTATCAAGACTCATATATATAATTTTAAACAGAAAATTATACAGTAGAGGTACTTGATCTAACTCATGATCGGGGTTCAGCATGGAGATTACAATTTGATGATGCAACCTGGTCAAATCATATTACTTCTTTGAAGCCTCTAGGTCTAGCGGTACTATTAAATACTTGCAACCCATCAACTCATGCTCATTATGCCCAATTTTGTGCTCATGTATCTTGCCAAGCTTTGTATAGTGAAGTGCTTGTTCCTGTTACCAACCGAAGGTAAATCATGTTTAGTTTTTACTACAACTATTAAATTATAAAAAATAATGTATTATTATTATTTTTATTTTTGTATGTTACTGTTAGATGTCTTTGTGAATTAGCTCGACAAATAGGATTTTCAGAATCTGCTGATGATATTTTTGAACTTCAATTACAGTTATCCACTTATAGACATGTGGTAAGTATTTGTTTACAACCTACTATACTCCGTCCCACTGTAGAAGTAGACTGATTCTCGCATGTAAACTGACGGACAGGCGGAACCGTTGCACTGTTTCACCATGTGACAGTTGGCGGCTGTGGGAATGAGCAGAAAAAGACGAGTTTTGGTTGCTGCCCGGTCTACTTTTCTTGTGGGACGGAGTATAGTTGTAGAGACAAAAAATTTAAATACATTATTGGATATGAATTTTAGCAAGCTGATGCTGTTCGAAGAGATATTAAATTTGCCAGATCATTACCAAATACTACCAAATTAAAATTTCCATTTCCTCACATGGTGTGTGTAGGATTAAGAGAGAGGAGTATTGGTAAAGCTGCAACAAGTTTACAATTATTCAGCCAAGGTACAGCTGACATAATATTGGATGCTTGCATAGATTTTTGGGATGGTCACGATCTCAGTCCTATTTCTCCTTCTGTTAGGTATTTATCAATTTTATAACTAAGCATTTATTATAGTTGTAGGCTGTAGCCATTGTTTGTAATACTTAACCACATAAAAAATAAACTATTCTATCTATAGGAAGAAAGTACTAGATTTTTATCAAAGAACTAGTTTAACAGCTTACTGTACAGCATTTTCATACCGCCCACTACCATTACCTCCTGACAAAAGTTTCTCAGAAATGTATTTGGAGTTACCAGCTGATTGTCGCCAATTATATTCAAAATTATGTCGTAGCCCAACACCACATCCGTGGACATCGACAACTCATAAAATAAGGCAACCACAATTTCATTCTTCTGGCAAGTATATTTTATGTAACCAATTGATAATATAAAATATTATATAGTAATACAGAGTACAACAGAAAGACCTTACAAATGAAATAACTTTTGTTCAAATCAAAAATAAGTATAGTATAAACAATTTTATTATTATTTTTAAGTACTGGAAATAAAGTTTAAAATTTGATAAAAATTTTGTTTGTAAAAACATTTAAGTTATGTAGTTTATGTTTTAAAATTTTTTTGCATCTCATTATTTTTGTTAAGTTGATCTGGTCGTAAAAAACATTTTAAATTCAAAAAATATAATTTTTTTAAAAATGTTTTATTACAATTTTTAATTATGTAGGCACTTGTTCAAATCTAAATAGTTTTTAAAAAGTTAGTACTTTTCAAATTAATGACTTACTAACAAAAAATTTTGACTTTAAATAAAATTATAATACATAAACCACGCTTGACTTGGATAAATATTTTTACAATCAAAAATTTTCTAAAAACCAGATTAACTAAATTGGCCGATATAAATTTTTTATTTTCAGTATTAAAAAGTAGATTCAGAAATTAAAAATGTTATATTATATGTGTACTCTATCTAGAATAAGAACTTACCAGATTTACATAGCAAAACCGATTTTTCCCGTGGCCCGTTCTTATTCTGAATAAAGTATAGCACAAGTCAATAAGTTATAAATAAAAAAAAAATATTTTATTTGTCAGGTCTTTCTGTTACACCATGTTTATATTTGTTGATAATAACAATGCTCAAATATTTTAATTTAAGAGGTTATATTATATTTATGTTTTATATCTGTAAATTTACTATAAATAATACTTATTTGATAAATGCACAATTTATATTTCAGATTCATTACTATTTGGTGATTGCAGTGAATATAACTCTAAAGATGTAAATTGTTGTTTTGAAACACAATGCAATCAAATATTTTTAGGAATGGTTACCATGCAGTATCAACCACAATATGATATGGTAAAAATGAAATGGATGAATAGCTTAATTTTAGTTATATATATGTATATTAAATAAGTAAATGTAATATATATTATATTAAACTGTTTAGGTTCAACTGATTGAGCTATTGGAAACAGCTTGTATACGATTTGTTCACTTTAGTAAAGAAAATGAACTTCGGTCTAGGGTTTTTTCTGAAAAAATGGGCCTGGAAAGTGGATGGAATTGTCATATTTCTTTATTAGGTGATGCTCAAACAAGAACTCGTCTTGACCCTAGGTATTAATATTTTTAACGACTATTGTTTTAGAAGTGTTAAAGTTTTTAATACTAATCCATCTAATTATTGTTTAAATGCACTATTTGATTTTTATAACTATTAGCACGTAAATTTGAGTGTTTGTATTTTGATTTTGAATCGAGTGAGGGTGCAGCAACTTGTGATGACGAAACTAGCTTTTTGATACCACTAACATCTACTAGTCAGTCGAAGAAAAAGCTTGCTGATTATGAACATAATTTATCCGCTGATTGTTTTCCTCCCCTCAATATAAATTGGTAATTTTGATTTTCATAATAAATTATTATGTACAATATTGTTAAATAATATAATTTTTCAGTACGGCTCTCAATATGTCTCGTACAATTAGTATGTCAGCACCAACTGCTTTAAATATGGATTATGCCCAAGTAACAATAGAACATGATGGAGAAAAAATTATAAAGCCAATGCTCATTCAAAAGTATATTAATGTTATAAATGTTTTTATATTATTTGTATATATTATGAATAACAAATATTTTTCAAGGGATACCCTTTACAATGATAATAGCAATATGGTTGAAATAGAAAAAAATGGAGAAGAATGGCACTCACTTAGCTGCATGTCTGATAGTACTGACCAAAGTGCTCCTGTTAATTTTGATATGTATAATCGAGTAAATATTTCTATAAATACCCTTACATTGTTGCCTACTTCAATTATAATAATGTTTATAGGCTAAACTGCCTCGTGGCATTGAGAACATTCGACCTCATCTAGAATGCATAGACAATGTTCCACTTTTAGTTTCATTATTCACTGATTGTACTCCAGAAGCCACTAAAGAAATGATATCCATAATGCAGCAGTATGGAGAAGTTGTTTGTGTACTGGGATCATCTCCAAACGCTGAAAATATTGGTATATTTATGCAGGCTGATGCAAGGTAATTTGGTATTTATTTAAATAATGCAGATGCAGTCTTTATTGGTATATACTCATTTTCTCAGTAAATTTTTAAAACTACATTTTTATATTTCAAAATTTGTAGTGTGAATACTTGAAATTAAACAAAAATGTTTTAGTTTTCAAAGATTCAACATTGAAAATAAATAAGAAAATGAGTATTTTATTTGCACATTTTATTTACTAATTTTTATAATAATTATCAAATGCACATAATTTAATCATTATTCTTGTCTTACTTTACTCAAATATTATCTTATGTCATTCAATATGTATATTGCATCTCAACAATTTATAATTTTTAATCTATCCATAAATTTATCAGTTTTTCAAGTTTTGCCTGTCAGATTCTTCTATGACATTTTTCTTCTATACTCATGTACTTATTTAAAATGTTATTTGCTTTAAAAACTTAGTTTAAATAATATACTATTATATATTATTTAGCTTTTGGTCATTGTTTTACCTTTTAATTATCATTTTACATTTTAAGATAAACTTTGGTACTCTAATGAAAAGAGCCAATTGACAAAAATATATAATTTACAAAATTATATTTGTGGCATTTAAATATTATAAAATATATTAAAAACTGTTAGATTACAATACAAATTGATTTATATTCATTTTCACTTTAAAGTTTAAACATAAGCATGAAAATAACTTATTCATAATAATCAAGTATTAAATGTGTTCTTAACATACAAAAAGGTATGCTGTACAGTAGGTTACAAGTGGGTCACTGTATAATGGATGGTATTAAATTTGAATTCAATGATATATTACCATTGTATAAGAAAAACGATTCTGAGCAGAGACTGTATGTCAGTCTAGGTATTAGACGTATTATATACTTATCTATGGTATTAAAACAAATTGACCTATAATAGGTACCTATAATAAATTCCAAATTAATCATATCATTATATCCATTAGGTACTTATACATCAACAACAAACAGTGGCGTAGCCAGGGGGGGGGGTTTTGGGTGTTTAAACACCCCCCATTGACATTTTCCTCCCTAATAAAAATATTGTTTATAGGGTTTGGGACTGCTCGCATTATTTTAGATAAGTTATAAATTTGTCTTATGAAATATTTTAAATGTCTAATCAAACAAAGTTTGAATTTGCATATTTTAGGAAAAGTGTACATTTGAGAGATTTTTCGCATATTTATGCATATTTTGCATTTTTCTAACTTAAATGTAGGTACATACAAGTGTCGGGAAAAATCATATTTGGATAACATTGAAAAATATTTTTAAAAATATTGTTTGGTTAGGTACAAATATAGGCTCTAATTTTGAGATTTGGGGAGGCCGAAGCCTAAAACCATACTATTATAAAATTGAATTAAAAAAATTTAGTAAATGATTGGGAGGGCTGTTAAAGTTGTTGGTGGAGCTTGGCTATACGGTTTGCCATATTTTCGCATAGTTATGGTATGTAAGATTTTATAAGTCTCTTTGTGACAAGACTGTGTTAAAACTATAATTGACATCTACATTCCAGATTGTACGAAAAAATGAAAATCAGTAGAACGTGTTCGTTTATCAAGGTGTTCTCATATCACGTTATTCTTTATTACATATTTATTAACCTAGTATTTTATTCCAGTACTTTTAAAAATCAAGTTGTTTTATTTCACAATAGTTTAAAAATGTCCAAAACATGCAATAGTGTTCCGTCCATCACATTAATCAATATAGGTACACCTACCTATATTAAAATTAGTAAGCCCGTGTATGAATTATTTATATACCTACTTATTTTTTAGTTTTTTTTACCAAAATTGTAGTATGTTTTATGAATTTTTCAAAAATAATATAAAAATGTAGCTGTATATATTTAAGAATATTTTGACAACTTTGACTGCATCATATTTCGATAATATTTAGTGCAACAAGTCAAGTCCCGAACCCTAAATTTGTTAAATATACGAAAACTGTAAAAACTTGGTTTTAATTTATACTTAACACCCCCCATTTCATAATCCTGGCTACGCCACTGACAACAAACCCTGATACTATCATAGATATATAATAATAATAGTGTACTTTAGAAGTTTCAAGTCCCCGCGAATAATATTATACAATCACAACAAAATAACTAAAATAGTTATTCTAGGTTTTTTTTATGTAATTTCATCCAAATTTGAACTTAAAATGACTATAAAAATAAACTGTGCTTATGTATTTTTTAGATTTTTTGGTAACAGAATTAACTATTTACGTGGAATCTTGTTTTAAATTTTCAATCCTTGGATATAAAAGTTGAAAATTTTATAAATTATTAACTACAAAATAATTATTCAATTTTAAATTTGATAAATTTTGTCAAAATTCAATCTTTAAATGCTTATAAAAAAAAATTGTGTCTATGTATATCAGGAGCCTTGTATTACATTTTACACTTTTTGGCCCAACAGATAAAACTTAATTGATATTTATAGAATAAAAAACTAAAAAAATTGGATACTGAAAATGTCCCTAAACAGCTCAAAATAAGTCAAAATATTAAAAAAGGTGGGCAAGTGGGTGTCGCTCTGCTGTACAGTAGGTTACAAGTGGGTCACTGTATAATGGATGGTATTAAATTTGAATTCAATGATATAATATCATTGTATAAGAAAAACGATTCTGAGCGGTGATGGTATGTCAGTCTATGTATAAGGCATATTATATACATATCTATGGTATTAAACAAAAAATTGCCCTATAATAGGTACCTATAATAAATTCCAAATTAATCATATCACAATATCCATTAGATACTTATAACGCGTTATACAACAACAAAAACCGTGATACTATCATAGATATATAATAGTACACTTTAGAAGTTTCAAGTACCCACGAATAATATTATTCAATCACAACAAAATAACTAAAATAGTTATTCTAGGTTTTTTAATATGTAATTTCGTCCAAATTTGAAATTAAAATGTCTGTAAAAAATAAGTGTGTTTATATATTTTTTAGATTTTTTGGTTACAGTATGAATTATTTAAGAGAATCTTTGTTTTAAATTTTCAACTCTTAGTTATAAAAACTGAACATTTTATAATTTTTTAATTCCAACGATTGATTATTTTCGAGATTTTGATAAATTTTGTCAAAATTCCAACTTTAAATGCTTATAAAAAAAAATCGTGCTTATGTATTTTTAAAATTTTTCAACTGATATTGTAACAATATATAAGAAAGCTTGTATTCAATTTTCAGACTTTTTGGCCCACCAAATAAAATTTTATTGACAATTATAAAAAAAAAAACTAAAAAAATTGAAAACTGAAAATGTCCCTAAACAGCTCAAAAAGAGTCAAAATATTTTCAAAATTGTATGGTGTATAGAAAATGCTAATTTAAACATTCAGTGAAATTTTCATGTATCTACAGTTATTCGTTTTTGAATTACAACAAAATAAGGAAATCGCTACATGAGAAATCGAGTGAATATCCAATGTTGTAAAAATTTTAATTTCAAACACTCATAAAAATTTAACTTGACTGTCCGGTAGAGATTTTTTTATTGATAAAGGTAGATAATCTTATAAGGAATCTTGTGTTTCATTTTCAAATCTTAGATTTAAAAAGAAAAATTTTTACGAATTCTTAACTCAAAATAATTTGCTAATTTTCGTGATTTTTCCATATTTTGTAAATTTTTGAACTTTAAATGCTTATAAAAAAAAATTGTGACTAAGGATTTTTAATATTTTTCATCTGCCTTTGAAACAACATATTAGGAGCCTTCTATTAAATTTTCAAGCTTTCGCAACCAACAAATAAAATTTTATTGATATTTCTAGAAAAAAAACTAAAAAAAAATGAAAAATGAAAATGTCCCTAAACAGTTCAAAATAAATCAAAATATTTTGAAAATGTTATCGTGTTTAGAAAATGCAAATATAAACAACCAGTGAAAATTTCATGTATTTACGGTCATTTGTTTTAAAGTTACACCAAAATCCAAATTTGATTTTTTGGAAAATCGATTTTGCGTAAAAATTCCCGTTTTTCCTTAATTTTTATGTTGTTTTTCCCGGCGCTTGTGAAAACTACTGGAAAATGTTTACTTTTGACCCCCCAAAGTACCAACTAGATTCACTTTCCTATCAGAAAAGGTACTATTGAAGAAAATCGAAGCACTTTTACTGTCCCAAAACGTGATGACAGACACAAAAATATAAATAAAAAGGTGGGCAAGTGGGTGTCGCTCTGCTGTACAGTAGGTTACAAGTGGGTCACTGTATAATGGATGATATTAAATTTGAATTCAACGATATAATATCATTGTATAAGAAAAACGATTCTGAGCGCAGACGGTATGTCAGTCTATGTATAAGACATATTATATACATATCTATGGTATTAAACAAAAAATTGACCTATAATGGGTACCTATAATAAATTCCAAATTAATCATATCAAAATATCCATTAGGTACTTATAACGCGTTATACATCAACAAAAACCGTGATACTATCATAGATATATAATAGTACACTTTAGAAGTTTCAAGTATCCACGAATAATATTATTCAATCACAACAAAATAACTAAAATAGTTATTCTAGGTTTTTTAATATGTAATTTCGTCCAAATTTGAATTTAAAATGTCTGTAAAAAATAACTGTGTTCATATATTTTTTAGATTTTTTGGTTACAGTATGAACTATTTACGAGAACCTTTGTGTTGAATTTGCAATCCTTAGCTATAAAAACTGAACATTTTATAATTTATTAATTACAATGATTGATAATTTTCGAGATTTTGATAAATTTTGTCAAAATTTGATCTTTAAATGCTTATAAAAAAAAACTGTGCCTATGTATTTTTAATATTTTTCAACTGATATTATAACAATATATCAGGAGCCTTGTATTAAATTTTTACACTTTTTGGCCCAACAGATAAAACTTTATTGATATTTATAGAAAAAAAAACTAAAAAAATTGAAAGCTGTAAATGTCCATAAACAGCTCAAAAAGAGTCAAAATATTTTCAAAATTGTATGGTGTATAGAAAATGCTAATTTAAACATTCAGTGAAATTTTCATGTATCTACAGTTATTTGTTTTTGAATTACAACAAAATAAGGAAATCGCTACATGGGAAATCGAGTGAATATTCAATGTTGTAAAAATTTGAATTTCAAACGCTCATAAAAATTTAATTTGACTTTCTTATAAAAATTTTTCTTTTGATAAAGGTAGACAAACTTATAAGGAATCTTGTGTTTAATTTTCAAATCTTAGATTTAAAAAGAAAAATTTTTACGAATTCTTAACTCAAAATAATTTGCTAATTTTCGTGATTTTCCCATATTTTGTCAATTTTTGAACTTTAAATGCTTATAAAAAAAATTGTGACTAAGGATTTTTAATATTTTTCATCTGCCTTTGAAGCAATATATTAGGAGCCTTCTATTAAATTTTCAAGCTTTCGCAACCAACAAATAAAATTTTATTGATATTTTTAGAAAAAAAACTAAAAAAAAATGGAAAATGAAAATGTCCCTAAACAGTTCAAAATAAATCAAAATATTTTGAAAATGTTATCGTGTATAGAAAATGCAAATATAAACAACCAGTGAAAATTTCATGTATATACGTTCATTTGTTTCAGAGTTACACCAAAAACCAAAATCGATTTTTTGGAAAACCAATTTTGCGTAAAAATTCCCGTTTTTCCTTAATTTTTATGTTGTTTTTCCCGGCGCTTGTGAAAACTACTGGGAAATTTATACTTTTGACCCCCCAAAGTACCAACTAGATTCACTTTCCTATCAGAAAAGCTACTGATGAAGAAAATCCAAGCACTTTTACTGTCCTAAAACGTGATGACAGACACAAAAAAAAATAAAAAAATAAAAAAAAAATAAAAAAACACACATCATTGTAAAATCAATACATTCATCGTTTCACTCAGAATCTAAAATATAAATAAAAATATAAATAAAAATATAAAAACATACATCATTGTAAAACCAATACATTCATCGCTCCGCTCAGAATCTAAAAAAAAGGCATGGTGTATAGAAAATGCTAATATAAACAGTCAGTAAAAATTTCATGTAATTTGTTTTAGAGTTACATAAAAAACCAAAATCGATTTTCTCGAAAACAGATTTTGTGTAAAAATTCCCGTTTTCCCTTAATTTTTCTTTTGTTTTTCGCAGTGCGTTGAAAACTACTGGAAAAATTTTACTTTTGGCCCCCCAAAGTACCAACTAGATTCACTTTCCTATCAGAAAAGATACTTTTGAAGAAAATCCAAGCACTTTTACTGTCCTAAAAGGTGATGACAGACACAAAAAAAAAAAAAACACATCATTGTAAAATCAAAAGATTCATCGTTTCACTCAGAATCTAAAATGAATAATAACTTGAGCTAATTTTAAATATATTATGGCTTAGTTATCCATATGTGTATGATAAACAACACAATTATAACTTAATAGTTAATATTAACTAATTTATTTACTAACAAAAAATATTTTTTATTTGATTATACCTGCTACAAATTATTAAAATTACAACAAAATAGGTAATATAAATTTAAACATTTAATTTGTGATTGACTGTATAATAAATGCATATCATTGTTTTATACATAATATATAATTTATAGTGTAATAAATTAAGGTTTTTGGACAGCAGTTCTTAAATTGGGCAATCGCATAACATTGCTCACCTCAACATAAGAAATGATATAATATGGACATTTTAAATCTTAACAACAATTATTGCATTGAAGAACTGTTTATTTCGAACAGAATATTTTATAAATGTTTCATATTTTTTTCAATATTCTAAAAAATTGAGAATTTTTTTTACTATTGGTTAATAAAAATAACACTGAGACTTAGCTGTGACCATACTAAGCTCACTCATTGAAATCAGAATCTAAACGCTTATTGATACAGATATTTCTTTGAAATTTGATTTTTAACTATCCATATAAAACCTATTTGGAATGTCTCATTTATATTATAAATGGTTTCTATAATTATATTTACTGTTATATTAACTATAGTCTTGCTATTGAACCGATCTATCCACAAGTGTGTCAGAGAATTAGCATCATGCAACAACCAAGTCCAATAGATGCTCCAATATCTCCAGTGGGTCTTTCTGAGTTATTGAATTCTCTTCCTTGTTGCCTTTCACTTAATCGTCAAGATCCATTACCAGTGTACCATCTTATTATGGAAGTAATTGATTTAAAAAAAGTTAAAATATTTTATTATAGTAATTATACTAGTTTAATGTCTTAATGTTATTTTATTTCACAGGGAAGATATTTAATGCAAGGGATATGGAACTGTATTCAATTTTGGACTAGTTGCATGGTTTCGCTTAGTTTTCTTCAACTACTTGCAATTGCTCTTGTATTACCTCCTATTTTATCAGTCGGTTTGTAATTTAGTTAATTTCAATTTTATAGTTTCTGTAACCTATCACAAAAGCTTTTTTTAAAGTTGTATATATTGGAAATGCTATTGCATTAAAATCATTTTTATTCTATTGTTAATTTCCTTGTAGATTAGCTTTTATTTTTTTATAAAAACTAATTTTGTATAAATGTTGACTGTCATACAGGTATACGCTACACAAAAATGGTTTTATTTTAATGATTCAAAAACTTTGAATCATAATTGTGATAATCATCATTGTGTCACAGTGAGAGCTTTAATACAGCTAATAATATAAGATATGACTACTGTCCCTCTAAGAATAATGTTTCATTGGCAGCCATTGGTCTACGAAGCATAACTATTTTTGTGCTGCTGTCAGCTGCTATATGAAAGTCAAACTATTATAACCATTTTCATTGCAATTTTTTTCTTTAATACTTTAATCATGGTTTATATTTGAATGTTTAGAAAATTCAATCAGAAAGCAATTTACTTGCTGTCTATTCAATCATAAAATTGTAATTTATCTTTAGGTCAAATATTATGGCTCACATGTATTGTTGTGCCTCTACTGTCAGTATCATTGGTAGGAGGTCCAACAGATCCTGAAGTTATGCAAAAACCAACTGGAAAAAATCAATGTTCTATTACATCTGAAGTAAGTTAAGTTGTTTTATTATTTAAACTTTTAATATTAAACTACATTACATGTATGATTAAAATTTTATAGTTATCTTATTACATAATGTGGTTTTATGGCCTGAAATTTTTACCGGTTGTAATTAATATGGTGTTGCTGTTTATATGGTCACTGAGTCAAGCTTGTGATTTGATTTTATCTACTACTAATAATAATTCAACTATTGAAATTCAACAATGTTGGTATGTATATCCAGATCCTAAAGAAACTGAATGGGGAGGTTGGTCAAAATTTGAGCCCACTATTATCAGTGTACAAAGATTAATGTTGCTTTTTCTTGTGATGCATTACGGTAATTATTAATTAATATTTTGAATTTAAGAAGAGTAAATGAAATATTTACTATTTATTGATATTGTATTACAGTTACCATATCTCTAAGTTTTGTTCATCGGGATTATTTACTTTGGAAACGAACTATACATTTAAATAAACCTTATTTGTTCACTTCATTGTTCATGTAAGTTTCAAAATAAACTAAACTTATTAAATATTAAAGATGTCAATTAAATTTATGAAAACAGTATTCTAGTTCAATGGGCATACACAATTCATTATGAATACTTTGATAGTATTGAAAATAATATTAGTATTTCCAAACTATCTGTACTGACTTTTATTATTGGGTTTGTATCTTTGTTCCTGGTTTTCATTGTTAACGAGATGGTTCATTGGCAAGAGATAAGGTTTGTTTATTATAGGTACCTTTGCCAATATTTTTATTAAAATGAATTACATATTATTATTCTAGGTCGAATGTGCGTTACCAAAAAAGAGCAAGATTAGATTTTGGAACTAAACTTGGTATGAACTCTCCATTCTAAAATAAGAAATATCTATTATTTCTCGTGTTAGTTGACGTTAGGTTACAAGTAGTTAATGTATGTGATATTAATATTGTTATTAATTGCGTTAGACTGAACATTATAGAGTTCTACTTATATAAATTTTGTAAATGTTTTAAATAATTTAAGTAAACTAAATAATTTATACTAATTTAATATTTATGCTTATTTTTAGTGCTTAGAATTATGATTGTTATTTACCAAAAATAAACGTCCATTTTTACAATTAAAACAAAACTTCTAAGTAATACGAATATGTATTTAAAAATATGTCTAAAAATGACTGATAGCAATGATGCAGTAAGCGTACAAACAACCCTCCTTATTATTCATATAAGGACCCTTATATCACTGAAACGTCTTGTACGAGCAGTCTGGTAACATTCCAGTAACCAAGAAACATTATTATAACTCACTTGCACTCAAACTTAAACAACTTCTTGGTAACCACAGATCTAAATCGTATGTAAACTATATATCATCACTTACATATAATAATGGTTCACTTTGGAAGACTACTAGGAAACTCCTATGTATTCATAATCAACCATCTACCTTAACTTAACGATGGTGGTACCTGACCAAGATAAAGCTAACATATTTACCAAACGCTTAAAAAACGCCTTTGGCATCATAATATCCAATATCCATCAACAAAATCAAAGAAGTTGAAAGTTTCCTCGACTCTCCACTACAAATGTGCCTTCCTCCCAGCCTTCTCTTATGGCAGTCTATTTTAATATAAAAAACTCCCCCTAAAATTAAAAATAATAACAGATTAAAAATTTTTTTTTTTTATCTTCAGTGTCTTCGCCACTATCGAGTATCGTCACTATCTATAATTTTGTTTTTACCTGATGCTTCAAAGAAAAACTCCACCAAAATAACTTTGTTCCTTTGCTTTTATTCTTTTAAGGACTCCATGTTTTTTTTATACATCGAATGGTAAACTGTGTCCCTAGGATCCCAACCGTATAATAGTGGCATATTATAATTTATATATAAGCTCAAGTTTTCTGTCTCAATATTCATATTTGAGCTTAATGGTGATTTTAATAAGTTTCTGGCACTTATCAAACGTTCAACATCAGCACTATGAGGTTTAGAAGCTGCCACTCTCTCCAACATTATACCAACATTTGGAAAATTTTTTGAGCCACATAATGTTTTTACTAGTTTAATAAGGTTCATTTTTCGTAATTCAGATATTGATCCCATTGATATCAATTCACCATACTCCGATGAAAATCCTTTTAAACAGTGGCGTCCGCAGGATTTTTCAATGGGGGGGGGCTTGAAAATTAGTTACATTTTTATTTTGTCCAGTCTAATAATTTCTGACGTTTATTTGAGGTATTTTAAAATGTTTGTAACTTTTCAACTTTTCTGGTAGAAAAAATGCTCTGATCATAAGCTTCGATGCCCAGTGTATGTTTTTGGAAGCAAATTGGATCTAGTTTGTACTTTTAGGAGGTCGAAATTGAAAATGCTCAGTGCTTTTAAAAATAATTGGAGAAAAAAAAATGAAAATTTATTTAAATGTTTGGTTATACCGTCTTCACTTGGATTGTATTTGAATAATTAAATTTTTTTTTCTATAAATGTCAATAAAAAATCATTTATCCGGTCAAAAATCTTAAAAATGTAATACGTAAGTTATTTTTTTATAGCTAAAATATTAACGATACATAGGCATAGTGTGAAAAAATTTCATGAAATTTAAAAAAATGAAATATTTCAGTATTTTGATATATTTTGTTTTATTTTTAAATAAGTTTTATATTTACAAATAATTGTCATAAATTACCTTCTTAACTGTATGTATACCTAACCTTTGGTATTATACATTTAAAATGGTATTCAACATTTTTAAATATTTTAATGTTTAAATGATACAAGTAGGTATACAATATTATACATGCATATTGTATAAATACTGAATTCTGTCATTAGAATTTAGAACACTGAACATTGTGTTGAAAAAATAAATAAATTGTGTTTTTATTTGTGTAAAAAAATTTCAATGTGTCACGTTTTTGTGAAATATTTCATACTTCAAACACTACATAGGCACCATGGTTATTTTTTATAAGCATTTAAAGTTCAAATTTCGTCAAAATGACAGTTAATTTGTAGTTCAAAACTTATAAAATATAAAATATATATATAGCTAAGGCTAGACAATTTAATACAAGGTCTTTCATACAAGTAGTTCATACTTTTACCTAAAAATTACAGATAATTTATGAAAATTGGTACCATGTATGCAAATACAATATTCTTTCAAAAATGAATTCATTCTGGTAAGACATATATGAAATTTACTTCTTGCTTACTATAGTTGACAGTTTTAATATTTTTTTTAAAAAGTAACAATAATACGCCACTGCTTTTAAATCTATGTCTGTGCCAATTAAATTATGAATATCTTTGATGCGCATGCTACAGAAGATAGTACAACAAATGGTTTTAAAATTGACAGTTAATTTTTATCAATAGAAAATCTTTGTGTTAAAAATTCTTGAAGACTGAAGAGAACATACAATTTCTTATTTTCTTGTTTAACTGCTGCAAGACTTCTATTTTGTGTACCAAATTTATGATGGGATTTATGACTATGATTATAAAATACATAATTAAATTAAACAATATTACATATGCCAATAATACAGAAAATTCACGATTTTTGGTACTGACCAAATTGGTTTTTAGAATTGTCCTTTTTAATTTAGAACTACCCATTAGCGCAAGCTCATGCCTATACCAAACCGATTTTTGTGAGGCGGGCCGTGCGTCCTCTCTTTGAAGAAAGTATATGTTTCCAACAATACCTTTTCAATCTGACTTCAAAATACCCACTGTTGTCTGTCACAGAATTAGCGAAACTCCACTATAAGCTATTCAATAATAAACTAACCATCTCCAACTCCCTTATTACCCAACTATCATCTTCAACTATTCTTGGAAATCCCCAAAAAAGGTTAAAAAGACAGTGGTGTCGCGACCTGTTTATCTAAATAAAAAAATAAAAAAAGTGGATAAGTGTGTAGGTACTTTGTTGTGCGATAGTTGTCGAGTACCTATGTCATTGTAATGGATGTGTTAAATTCGAATCCAATGATAAATCATTGCCTAAGGAAAACGATTCTGAGCGGAGAGGATATGTCGTCCTAGATTACTATAATATTATATTATAATACAATAAATAATTAAATAATATATAATAAAATGTCATAATTAAAAATCCTTAAATATCAAATAGCGTAAAAATTTTTAATTCAAACACAAAAAATTAATTTTACTTTACCTACAGTAAACTTTTTTGTTTTTTTAAATGTATAAAACTTGTGGGGAAATGGGGAATTATCTATTAAAACTTCTAACGTTAAGGTGATTGGAAGCGGCGATTTTCTGTCTTTGTCTAACACACGTGCAACATAGGATTATAGACGTGTTCTATTTCCAATGTACCGATTAATCTAGTGAAGCGATAAGAATTCTGAAAACAGATTTGAATTTGTCGTCAAGTCTACTTGAGATCGACTTTCCCACATTTTTGATATTATCCCCCAAGAATCTTAAAAATGATATACTAAAAAGAGTAATTAAAAAATTGCCATATTTCAATTTTTGGAGAAGTTTTAATCAAAATATCAAAAATGTGGGAAAGTCGATCTCAAGTACTAAGTAGACTTGACGACAAATTCCGAGGGGATTCCATACCGGTCGTTTTTAAGGAGTTAAGTATAGTCAATTTTTAGACAATCTGTATAGTGTGTGCGTGCATGGCGTGTAGTAAAATATGATCATTAGTGTTAGTGACTGACGGCGAGCTAGATAAGCGTTGCGCACTCGCACTCACATGCACATGTCACATTATGCCTAAAACAAATTTATTTCATGGCAAAATGTTGTAAATCATAAACCTAAAAGAACTCCAACATTTCGACTTGAGTTTTACACCGATAAAAATTTTGAAAACAAATTTTATTTTGTTTTGTCGTTCAATCAACTTTGGATCCTTCGAGCCACATTTTTAATTTATTTAAAGAAAAAACCTCACTTAAAATTTAGAAAAAAACTATTCACAATTTATACAATTTTAATGGACATAAATAGTTTTAAAATTTTTTTTATTATTCTGACTCAAAGGATTCAAAATAGACTTCATAATAAATTCAAATATGTTTTCAAAATTATTATAGGAGTAGAACTCAAGTTAGTATGTTGGAACGCGTATAGGTCTATTTTACTCTAAAAAGCGGTAGTGTGGAATCCCCTTAACTTACTATGAAAAGAATTTTTTTATAAATTGAAATAGTGGCTTAATTTTTTTTTTTTGGGGGGGGGGGGCAACTGGAGAATTTGCCCCAGATTAGTATTTACATCAACCTTAAGTCGGCACATTTACTACACCACTATGGCAATTTGCTATGAGAATCTGAGTGAAAAAAATTTTGAAGACGCCACTGTTTACCGCCACTTTGACCAAGACAAAATAATTTTACAGCCACCGCTGCAGTGCGTGGAGACCTTAACACTAAAAAAATAAAATCAATTATGTATTAATTCCCATTTTTTCTTAAGTTTTTTTGTTTTTTTCCAGTTTTCAAAAAATAAAAAACAGTGTGTTCGCCTAAGAATTTGTTATATTTACAAACATATTTAGATATAATTTAAAGAAGAAGACATTATATACATTATATTATATATTTTTCCTCAAAAACATCGACTTTTGTTAGGTAACATTGTAAATTTGTAATCATACATTGGATTCATATTTCCAAAATCTTATGGTAATGGTTTTTGAATCTATTTCAATTATAAAATTATGATTGTACAACATTTCAGGTAGCCAATTAAAGGTACAACACTGTTTTAATGATACATACACATAAAATACACAAAACAGTTTATATAAATAAATATTTGAAATTTATTAATAATTGAAAAATACAGTTTACATTTTTATTCATCACTATCTAGCATGGAATCAAGCCAATGTCCTGAATCATGATTCGTCATTTCAATTTTATTCTCATCTTTAATGGGCATCTTTTGATTTACAACTATTATTGAGTCATCTACACTAGTATCTACAATAAAAATTTACATTATAGAAATATCAAATATTTTTCATCACAATGAAATTAAAATGTTCATTGTACCTAATACCTATACTAGTAACTGTATTTATTTCTTCTTGTAGTATGTTCATTAAAGGTTTCATATTACCCAATATTTCTTCTAATTCTAAATTCGATTGAATATCACAATCAAAAGGAATATTATTAACTTCTGTAACATTTAAAATTATAATATTTATTTGTGTTTAGTTATATTTTAGTTTATTTTAAACAAATAAATTTATATTGATTATTGATATCAATGTGGTTAGAATAATTTTGTGTAACATGAATTAATTTTACCTGAATTAGAATAATTTTTCAGAACTAATTTATTTGTGGCTGTGGTTGCTTGATTACTTCCAATAGAAGTTGGCAATACATTTTTAATATTTAATAATTTTGAATTATATTGAGCTAAAAATAAAAACATATATATTAATCTATAATATACAAGATTATTTATCAAGCAAGCTTAACCCCTTTTTCTTCAATAATGCGGTAATTCAAAACAGTTTTTAGGAATTTTTAATCTATAAATATTAAAAATAAATGTATGTCTGTCCATATTGGTTGCCATTGGTTTAAAACGGTTGGTATGGTAACTGTTATATTATAAAATAAAACATATTATTCATATAGACAGAGCCATGTCAAGCAATTCAGCGCTCCAGGGTAAAAATGGTTTATAGAGCCACAGGTAGCATATTAAGCACAAATAAAGGCGTCCCCTTACTTTTACAAAACTACGGCACTCGTGGGCAATTGCCCCCTTTGACCCCCCCTTCTCGTTCAAGCCACAACCACGTTCGTATGCCAATATAACCCAGGGTCAACAATTTCCCAAACCAAATCCCACATCTCCTAACAACAACGAAGACGAGCATCTTAAATTCCTCAACGAGTTCAAAGTCATCCTAAACCCTCTTATAGCATTCCTCACCACTTTCCTCTCAAATTTCACAAATATCAACAAAGCAATCCAAAGTACACGGTGTCTTGATCTACTTTTAGACTAACCCCCACCACCACATGTCATGAAGTCCCATCAATGGATGGCCTCTTCACTCAAAACCCCCTGTCTGAATTAATCTAAATAATAACTGTAACTTCTCAACTTGTTGTTATGTTATCCATATTATTTGTTTTTTTTTTTCTAATTCTTTCTTCACTTGTGCTTATTGTAAACTTTAACTAACAGATTGTACAATTCTCTAGTTTAAAAATAAAAAAAAATACGTACATATATGTCGGCTCAAAGCAAGAGATGATTCTACTTCGAATTCTTCTAATTGCTCCACCTAAATTTATATTTATTACGATTTCAATAAAATATTAAAAGATTTACACATGTCTAGTTAACCATACAGTAAATAGTTCAACAGGTATGTCATGTTGTATATTAAATGGCACACTAGCTATACTTGCAGCTAAATGTGTCATATCAATAGAACCAAATATTCTACAATCTTCTTGTTCTAAACCCCAATTTTTTTCAGAAGAAAATTCAAAATGACCTCCACCTAAAATACCAAAAAAAAAAAATGAATTAGTTGATAGGTAGATTTCGCAATTTTTTTAAATATCAATATTTGTATAGATTTAAATTAATTCAAAACATAATAACTTTTTTCTAAATATTCTTTTTAAGAATTTTCAGACTAAAGTAAATCTTAAATGATTTATTATCCTCATAATTTTCATAATGTTATTCATAGGTTTAACTAGTATCAATTTTTCATTTTTCATTTGTAAGGTGTTTCTGTTACAACCTCTATTGAAAAGTTTTTATTTTGTTATAAAAGATAAGTGTCAAAAATACGTTTTGGCTTCTATCTATGACCTATGTTTTCAACAAGCGAAATGTAATAAAAACATTGTTTTACCTTGATAAACGTTAGTATTCGAACTACGAGGGTCGGTCATATTGATACAATACTGTGATTAACTTTAGTTGAATATAATAGTTGAATTACGTTTAAAATCGGTAATTCTACGATTTGCCAAAACTCTTCAAACTTCTTTAATCGCGATCACAACTCAACAACTGGCTCAACCGCTCAACCCTCAACGATCGCTGGATCGTATATAATTATATGATATTATAATGATATAATAATAAACTATAATAGATAATATTTAAATTAAAGACGAGCGTCTCACGCCAGCATGTCATTTTGGCATCCAGTGCGCGCGCATCACGTCGGCCTCTGGCATTGTTATCATATTATTTATTTCATGTTATCACACTAATCTAAATAGGTAGTTTAATAAGTTTAGAATTGTTTTACATGCATTCATTCATTTGTATTTTATTCACTATTTATTTGATTGACAATATCATATACACAGTAAGAAATTTAGTTATAAAAAACAATTATGTGTTGAGTAAATTGGGTTAATTAATAATTGGGATAATTAAACAGGGTTGAGTAAATTGCATTTTTGTTGCACCGAGCCACCAATTTGAAAAAAACATCGTACAGTGATGCGGTGCTAGCGGCACTCGTCGCTACGCTCCTCGGCGCCGTCGCTCCGCTCCGCAAATCGAAAATATCCCCCGACTTGCTGTGCAACACCTCCCCAAGTGGGTCACAGGGTTAAGAAAATTGTTTTGTGGAAAATTGTTTTGTGGAACAAAAGTAGTACTCCCCAAGTATAACATGAAATAAATAATATGATAACAATGCCAGAGGCCGACGTGATGCGCGCGCACCGGATGCCAAAATGACATGCTGGCGTGAGACGCTCGTAATTAAAGGCTCTCGAATTAAGATAATAGATTAATTCTGATAGTACTTTCCTAAATCGTGCTTAAAACTCACATCTACTACAACTCTGTTGCATATCAATTTAACGGCCACGGGCCAATGAAATGAGGCGAACTACAACAATGGATGGGAAGGGTGGGATGCGCCAACCCGACCAAAACTCGTACTTGTACTGACATACCTATCTATTTTCAATTTTATCATGCTTATATAGTCTTGGACCTTGGTTAGAAACTCATAACTCAGACCAACAAAACAATAATAAAAAACAACAATAATAATAATGAACATCTGCTACGCGATACGATACGATACGATTTACTAATATTATAATATGATACGATAAATTGCTTTATGCTTATGCTCAATGCTGTCCGGACACACACCGACGACATCTACATATACTATTTACAATAGTAATTGTTAATTATATTTCAACTCTAAATAAAAGAATTTCACCGTCGTCACTGTTCGCGCAGAAACTCTGACGAAATTTAGTGAAATTATAACATCGAAATAATATTATGTCGAGTGACGGAACTTAGCCGAAATCCGAAGGCCTGTTAACAGTGTTAACCGCGTCTGTTCACAAGTCTTGCTGTCTTCCCGTGTGCGAATTCGTCTTGGTAAAACGAATTTTCAATAGATCATTTGTGCCGTTTCTTTTTATATTTCGGTGTGAAACGTTCTATATTATGTTATAAACGTATGTTCGAATGATCTCGAGTCGTCAGTCCCAGTATCGATGCGTACCCAACAATGTCCCGTCTCGCCGCCGCCGACGTGTGATCACCATAGCGAATAATGATCGACAACGCCGTCTGTTGAATCCTCGGTTGAATCATTGAGGTGATTAATATTTGATTCGGTCTTGCAAATATCGCGATTCTCGTATGTAATGGATAGTCAGAAAGTATGCAAATTAAAGTTCAGAAAACGGAAGGCGACTCCAAACGTAACGTTTTGTATGAAAACTGAGAGAAATGCGTCGAATAAAAAAGTAAGAGCGATTGCACAATGTTAGTGAGTAGCATGAAACCTAGTCCCCACAGTGTTTTGTCTCTGAACTAATTTTGGTTTTGTTTTACTTGGGATAGGGATAATTTTTTGACTTTTGAACTTCTAGTTTTTATTATTTTATTAGAAATCTCCAACGACTATTCAAAAAACAATATCTAACCATACGTTTTCTATATAACTAATTTATCACCAAGTACCTTTAAAGTTTTTTTTTTTGTAAGTTAATATCAGTCTGATGGACTTATTAGTTATTAATTATCTAATAATATAAACACTAATTACATAATAGATAAACATCCAGCATTCATGATTAATAAATTGGTTTTTTGCTTGACTGTTGTCGTCAAAAAAACTCGGATTAATGAAAAATTGGGGGGCTTAATTATAATATAAACATATAATTTTACGACATTTATTTACGTATGTGTATATAGTGATGTTAAACGTAGTCATTGTATGTTATGTCTAAATTTCAGAACTTAACGAATAGTATTGTAAACTTAGTTGAAGTACAAAAATGATGTTTTCCCAGCTCTTCCTGGGTTATTTAATTTACAGTGTCTATGCTACATCATAGTTGATCATACTACAATACTAAATTACTACCTATTCAACAGAAATAAATCTTTGAATTACTATTGAAAAACTAAAATTAAAATCATACGTAAACTAAACAATAAAAAATAATGAATTTTAAAAATACCAAGGAAGAAAATATATAATTATGCTCCTTATGACAGTAAACATGTATTAGAAATTGTAACTCTCAAACTTGCAAACTGTAATTTTTCCATTTGATTCGACCTGAATAATACAGCAATATAATACATATTATACTGTACATATTATTATATGTATTTATTGAAACAAGATTTTTTTTTTTATTAAATAATAAATTAAAAGATCTTGTTTCAATATATTATGTATTTATCATAATAAATTGTGACCAGTGGCATGCTCAGTTTGTTTAAGGGAACAGGGCTGTTATGAATTATTGACTATTCTCAAACCACATTACTTAGCGGTAAATGTACCTTTATTACTTTATATATTTTATATGACAAAAATAAGCTAAAGTGAGAAATATAACAACCTCATGCCCACTGACAGCAAGCCTATAATATGACAGTAAACTTGAATTAAATTTAAATGTTCTCTGTAAACTTTACTTTTTAATTAACAGTATTTTTAAAAATTTAGATGAATATAAAGTTTATCAACAATATTTTACTTTAATCTATGTTGAATATTTACAGATATTAGAAATAATTCAAAAGCCATTATCTGAGAGAACAATTGATGACAAAGAAATTCTTAATACATGTAAGGATACAGTACAGAAGATATCTCAAAGGTATTTAATTTTTACTATCTATTTTAATTATTAATCTTAACTTTTTTAATAAATAACATTTATATTTTGAATTAGTCTCATTACAGTTTTCATAAGACCATACTTCGGTTTTTTTATTTATTAAAATTGGTATGATATTTGTGAAGAATGCTGTGTTTCAAATCATTTTTTATTTATTTCATATTCTTAATAATGTTGAAATCAATAATATGGATTATAGATTATCTGGTACTGGTTTGTTATAGCCCCTCTCAGGTAAGTGAAAACTTTACAACCTGGCCCTTAGGTTTGTTTTCTCCTTGTCATATATAATAATAAATATATCGGAAAAAACGTCCAAAATAATAATAATAACATCTATAATATAAATAGTATACAAATAATAATAATACATTTTTTATATATATATAATAAAAGTATATAATGAGTGATAACAATAGAAAAATAATTATAAAATATTAATAAAATTATTATAAAATAGTTTAAAAAAAAAGTGTATTTACTATTTAAGTAATGAATAATCATATAAAAAGTTGATTAAAAATGTTTAGGCTTTCCATGATAACCAAAATTCTGGGACTTAATGAGATAAACGCATATGGGGTAAGTACCTAATATTAATGGAGCTTTTTTCCCTTCAAATTATTATCATAGATTATTTACACTTTATATTTATATTTTATTATTATGGATGGTGGGGAGATTACAAACCTGAGTGGCAGAGATTTAAGTTGCTCGAGTGGGGTTTTAACCAACCAGTACCTTAAAACTAATAACTAAATATATTAATCTGTACAAATTAGTGTAAGTGTAATAAAATACTAACTATTGTTTAAAAAAAATAAACACCACAAGTAAAATATTAACTAATAAATAAATATTAATTTATAGAATTTCTTTTTAGGTTAGATAGACAAAAGAAATTAAAAGAACGATGTCAAGAGTTTGAAGATCCAGTTGAAGTACTAGATCCAAAATGTGAAGAACTTGCAAAGGCTATTTCATCTGCATCAAATTTAGTAGTCTATACTGGTGCCGGAATAAGCACGGCAGCTAAAATACCTGATTATAGAGGCTCAAATGGAATATGGACATTATTAGATCAAGGAAAAGATATTGGGTGTGTAATTAATGTACTACTATCAACAATTATCTAAATAATTCCTGATTTTTTCATTTGTTAGATTTATGCCTTGAGATTTCAAATTCTTTAATTTTTTAATGTATATGAAAACAATTAAGATATTTTATTCCTCTTCCAATATCTACCTATATTATAATACTTGAACATTTTAATATTGTAGTAAAATCTTTAGAAACTTTTGTTTTAGCAAAATCATAAATTAATATAAATAAGTGATAACTAGACCGTGGATTTACATTAACTAAAAACCAAGCAAATGTGCACTAAAAATTCTTAAATATGCATAAATATATGCTTTAAAAAGTTCAAATTGATATTGGTTATGTAGTAACTCAATATTAACTGTATAGTCCGGTCACCGTGAGAATGTTACTTGGCCAAGCATTCAAATGAATGTGCTCTGCCGTCTCGAGGTCTAATTTCTGCCACCAAGTGGACCATTGTGAACCATCTTCCTCCAACACTTGACGATGCTACAGCTGATGGTATCGTAAACAATCACTTATCACATGACGGCGAGAGTCGTATTGGTTGGAGATGCTCGTACTACGACAAGTTTTTGTCGCCACCCAGTAGCGTTCTCTTGGTGACCTTAGATACTTGACATTGTTGTCAAATGTTTATATGACCATATTCCATTCAAGAAAAAATACTGTGACTATTTTTTAGTTATTTATAGAAAATAAACTAAATTGTAAATTAAAAATACCTATAAATAGCTCCAAAACATTCAAACTATTTTTGAAAATGTTATCATGTACAGGAAGTAGTAATATGAATATTTTGTGGAAATTTTAAGTACCATAATGTTATTCATTTTTGAATTACAACATAATAAGAAAATCGTAGAAAACCCAAGTATTAGAAAATAATTAATGTAAAATGAAAAATTTTTATACCATCAGGCAGGCAGGGATAGAACCATTGAATTACCGAGTTTAACTACTTATAGTATATTAAGTGCTAATAGTTAAACTTAATTGTTCTAACCCGATTTAATAGGTTTTGGACCAGTTAAAGTGCTATAAGTATGAGTTATTCGATGGACAGGTACTTACCCTATCCAGACACTGCCTTTATGTAATTATCATGCTGACCCCACCCATAATTCCTGTGTTTAAAACTCTATAAAAAGGCAAACTATAATATAATGCATATTTCAAAACGTATTAGTTTATATTATAGGTTTTTACTAGGTCTGAGCCCTGAGTACGAGTGTCTTAACTCTTAGTCTATACATTAGTTATTAACTTTTTAGCAGTGTTCTTTCTTTTATTGACATTTCTTTAGTCATACTAAGAAAAATATTACGTTGAATCTCTACTTTTACCTACCATGATATATTAATATTTTCTAATAAATCAAAAATTTGGAAGTATTTTGTATTTAAATGCCATTTTTTTGTGATTTATTAGAGAGCAAATTAAATTTAAAATTTATAATATTAAAATTTAAAATAAATAAATAACATAAATTATTTCTAAAATGCTAAATATTTATAGGCTATAATATATTATACATTTATGCTAAGATATTAATTATTAATTTAGATGTCACGACTTGAGCCAAGCAGAACCCACGTTAACACATATGGCAATATATCGACTATACCGTGAAGGGTTACTGGGACATGTCGTTTCTCAAAATTGTGATGGGTTGCATTTAAGAAGTGGTCTACCAAGACCGGCATTGTCAGAAGTGCATGGTGATATGTTTATTGAGGTATTTGGGATTTTATATTTTTATATGGTTTCATTTTATTTGTGAACATATAAATTAAAATAAAATATTAATCTTAGGTATGCAACAATTGTAAACCAAACAGACACTATTTGAGAATGTTTGATGTGACAGAACATACAGCAAGATTTAATCACAAAACACTAAGGTTATGTTATGCTTGTCATAAACCGTTGAAAGATACAATTGTTCATTTTGGAGAACGTGGTAAACTTCAATGGCCAATTAATTGGTCAACGGCTTGTAAACACGCTGAAAAAACTGATGTAATTTTGTGTTTAGGATCCAGCTTAAAGGTAATATTTATGATGGTTGCCTAAAGTAAATAAAATCATATATATTTTAAGTTATTAGGGTTTTTATTGAATTGATTTTGTGATTAGTTTTGGTTAGTATTTATGTATAAAAAATATAACATATAATATTTATTATAATTTCAGTTTTTTTTTTATCAGTGAACTAAAAATAAATAATTTTATGTTATAAAAATGCTAAACATTTAACAATAATAATTATAAACATTATGTTGTTAGGTTCTGAAAAAGTATCCATGGCTTTGGTCAATGGATAGACCGGCTAAAAAAAGACCAAAGTTATACATTGTAAATCTTCAATGGACTCCCAAGGATGACCATGCTACACTAAAAATAAACGGTACAATAAATTTCTTTTACATAATATTAAAAATAGATTAGGTAAAAAAATAAAATAATGTTCTAGGTAAATGTGATGAAATTATGAAAAAAGTAATGTCAATCTTAAATTTGGATATTCCTAAGTATCAACGTTGTCTTGACCCTATATTTCACCATGCCACAATGTTAGTAGCAGCTGAAGAACATACGACAGTACATCCTGTTTTAGCTGTTCCGACTGATGATGTTCAAAAAACCGATTCAAATACTATAACAAAATGTGAAAAAATAGAATTAGATATTAGTAACGGTAAAAATATTACCAAAATGTGTTCAGGATCAAAAGACCTAATTCAACCAGTTGATCTCAGTTTAGTAAAATTAGAAAATAATATATCCATAGTTGATCAAAGTGAATCAATTAATTCTCCGTCGTGTTCAAATATGGATTTTGTTCCAAGCTTAAGTAATTTTTGGAGACCTTTTATTGAAGGTGTTGATCAAAATTCATTGGAAGGACGAAATATGCTTTCATTGGTTGAACCAATAGTACCATATCTAAATCCATTTTTTATCAATAATATGGAAACTTTAGGATTGTCTCCAACACCTGTTGATCAGTTTTACAAAAACTTTGTATATCAAGCATGTATAGGATTAGCGGCAGTTGAAAAATTGCAAATAGAAAAAAAGCTGACAAACAATTTAAAAAAAAAGAAAAAAGATGTTAGTGAAGATAAAGATGATATTAAAAAAACAGATGTTTCAATAAATCGATATTGTACATTTTGTCATCCAGTTTATGGTTCAACTAAATGCCTGTTTTATCATCGATATGAATCAAAGTTCAAAGAAGACGTAGCCATTTGTCTGTGTTGTGATGATGATGATACAGATGAAGAAGACGAAAACGAACTAAAAACTGAAGAAATGGTGGATAAGAATGATGAAGTTATAGAAAAGGCCAAAGTTACTGCTGGCTGGTTTGGGAAAGGTTACAAGAAAAGAATTAAAAAAAAGAAATAGGTATAATTATTTATTTTAAAACTAGTTTTTCTCATTATTTCTTTACCTTCCAGTATTTAAATTAAACTACAGTTGAAGTTGAAAGGTTGTATATTTCTAAGAATATCTATAATGGTATAAGTACCCATCTGGTAACAATCATTACTCAAGCATACCGTTACTTATATTATCATATTTTTATATTAAAATCATGTTTAGAATTGGTTTAGTTTGTTATAATTTAAAATTTGAAACTATTATTGCCTATCCGGTATTTTTTTATCATATTTTCAATTTTTACATACATCTGTTAGATTTATGATTATTGAATAATTCTTTCATATTTTACACTATTATTATTGTGTTAGAGAAGTAATTTTTCTAATAAGATTTAAATGTGGTTTATTGAAGTGCAATAATGATTTGTTGTGATTTATTTTTATCTATTTATTTGTCGATGATTTTTTTTTAATTGTGTTTTTACAATCTTGCTAGGTAATAATACACGTCTTTTTGTTTCACTTACAGTTGTACTAAATGTTTTAATAGGTATGTAGAATACACACAAAATATTGTTTTGAAAATAATGTCCTTTTCAACCTATATATTTTTATTGGTAATCATTTAAATATTATATCATCATAGGTGTGCGCATGGAGACAGCAGAGACAGCATAACATGCTGCTCTTGCATTATTTTGGGGTTACCACTTCCAGCCAATATTGAATAATAGGCATTGGTAAAATTATATTTCCACAAACAATGACCATTTTAGATAAAATAATTATATGCATTTTGTATTATTTTTTTGGTGAAAGTAAACTATAGATGGATATTTTATGGTTTTAAAATTTACCAGTAATAGAACAAATCGGCATGTCTAATTCAAAAAAAAAAAAAAAAATAGACATGATTTTAAATTGTAAATATTATTAGGTAGGCATAGGCGTGCGCACGGGGGCAGCAGAGGCAGCATATGCTGCCCCTGGACTTACTTTGGGGCCACCGGGGCCGGCAAATATTAAATAATGGGCCTCGGTAAAATTATATTTCCACAAAGGATTTTTTTTGTTTTGATAAACTATAGATAAATATTTTATATATATGCTTGTAGAAAAGTACACCTTTAGTGGCTTAGTACCTTACTGTACAACCTTTTATCCAAAAAAACAAATAACCAATACAATTTTAATTTTTATATCCAATAGTAAAAAAAGTAAAACTATGGGCAGGTTTTAATGGTGAATTTGAAAAATGGGCCGAATTAATCTCTTGCTGCCCCTGAAACCGGAGGCTGCGCACGCCTATGTAGGTAGGCATCATTTATGGCAAAAACAACTGAAAAAAAAAAACAAAAAACCAATACAATTTTAATTTTTATGCCTACCCCCCTTTAGTAGTATAAGTAAAACAATGGGCCATTTTAATAGTGAATTTGGAGAATGGGTCCATAGACATAGACGGAGATTTGATTAAGTTTTAGTGGGGGCTAAAGTCTTTCTTTACAAAATAAGAAGTGGGGCTTTAAAAAATGTTCAATCATTTTGAGGGGCCAAGCAATCCTCGGCCATCAATCTCCTACATAAATGGACCGGATTAATTTCTTGCTACCCCTAAATCCAGAGTCTGCGCACGTCTATGTATATTATAATAAAGTAGTTTTATAATAATTTATATTATAATATGTAACTAATTAACTGAAATAAATTTTTAAGGCATAACTTGCTGTAGGTATTATATATGGTATTATGTTATATTGTATCATTGACGTGGCGAACTAACAATTTTCCAGAGTCCAGTTACAAATATCCCAAGTATTTATGCATAATAATGTATTAATGTAATATAACAAGTTATATTTCAGATTGTTATTGACTACCTATTGAGAATATCATATTCAATTTACTAGGGGTCCCACTTGCTACCTCCCACCCCTCTATTTAAGAAAAATTTCAGAGGCCAAGGCCTCTGAAATTACCGTTCGCCACGTCACTGTATTGTATTGTATATTACAACCGGCATATTGAATGTAAATAATGTAATGGACAAAGTTCCATTTACAACATTTATATTCTAACCTTGCTACTCAATCAAATGTAAAATGTTTTAATCTATATAAGCTATTTTCATATTATATCATGTACATTTTAATTCTAATTTACCAATATTATTGACCTCGTGACTGCATTAAAATATCATGGAGAAAATATATTTTGCACTTCATCAGTATTGTTTTTTGTCTGCAACTGGTAGTCTGTCAAGGGTGCGTTGTTGGAATTAATCATGTCTATATAATATTAAGTTTATTTAGTCTATTAGATTGAATGTCTCCATTGGCTATTGATATAACTATCATTAGTATGTACAATATAAAAGTAAACATGACATAAATAAACTTATACCTATATAGTAAAATTAAATTTTTTAATACCATCTATAAAGACTTAATTTTGCTCCCCCCCCAAAAAAAAAAAAAACAAAAACAATCTCATACAATACATGCAATACAATTGAATTAAATAATCTGTTAAAACCTTACATGAATTGCTCATAGTAAAAATAAAAATAGATTTTAGGTAGGTATTAAGAACATATGTGGATGAATTGGTACCTAATTGTTTTCCACCATTATTGTCTGTATTTTCTTTCGCACAATATGTTGTGTGATTCGAGAAAACAAAGTCTGTAACAGTTGGACAAATCTGGATGTTAATTATAATCAATTTTGTAAAATTTTCCCCACTTGTCAGTTGTCTACCTCCCGTTGGCCGTTGGCCAGTTCTGTAAATTAAGTGGGGACTTCAAGTCAATAGGAAATAGGAATGGTTGACTCGATAGACCTCTACTTTTTCAAATTCCACCTTTGTTCTATTCTTTGGGTGCACAAATATTTATTCCAAATTCACGACGAATTACCAAGACCACTCTCCTGTCGCTATACCAATTACTTTTTTAACCCTCACGCCGTTCAGGAGTCAAGAGTCACTGTTATTCTATAATATGTACCTATTCCTTATTTTTTTATCTACAACCGTGCTTTATAGTTAAAAACCATTGCTTATTGATTAAATTTAATCTACTCCTTTTTAAAACTGTAAGGTTGTCTAAGGTCCACAGCAAGGACGTGTACCAATCATAGACCTATTCATGCTAAAAATAATATAATATATATATTAAGGCTCTCTAGTTATAGGTATCTTATATTCTTAATTATATCATGTCTAATGTCCTAATGTCCATGATTAAGACCAAAACAAGATACATCTTGAGGAAGACTATAGAATCCACTTTGACTAGAATCTAAAACTATAAAATGACAATTCTGTAATAGCATAGTCACAATGGAATATTCTTAATACCCATAGGTTATATTGTTCTGTGGTTATATGTTATATACTTATATATTATTTATACATACTAGAGAGTATAGAGCTATATAATAGCTGTATAATATATAGATTAGATATAGATATAGATATATCTATATCTTATATAGGGCGCTTACCACCATCCTAGACAGAACCACAGATATATAACATATTATGTTAATGTTATAATCTGTGGACAGAACAAGCCGGTCCGTGCTTCAAATATTTGATAATGATAAATTCGTGATAACAGAGCAACAGGTAGTACCAGAAATCACTAATCTAAATAGAATATCAGCAACAGCTGCTGTCAATTCAAGGTTTATAGATTATAATCCATATAAATCACGATTTAAGATATCTTAAATCACGGACTAAGATATACAGGACTGGACACGAGATGAATATTGTGGTTACGAAATGTTTTACAACAGGCGGAGTTCAGGGGGATATTTTCCTTTTAGCATTACTAGCGCCGTCTTAGTGGATACTTATGGAACTAGATCACATTATTGTCATCTAGTTCCAAAAGTATCCACTAAGACGGCGCTAGTAATGCTAAAAGGAAAATATCCCCCCGAACACTGCCTGTTGTAAAACATTTCGTAGTCAACCCCCCCACACCCTCCAACCTTGTCGTGTCCAGTCCTGTATATCTTAGTCCGTGTCTTAAATCATGATATAAATTATGATTGATATTTAAATTATTTGATTAGTATTTGGTATAATGTTTCGTATCTTTTGTACCTTTTTAAACTCGTGCAATATATGATATGCAAATATGCAATAGGTATATATATTGTATGCAAAAGTAGTTTGATTATGATTTACAGATAAAAGTTATTTTATTATATTAATGAAAACTGATAAAATTAAACCCGACGTATGTTTTGAAGTTTGAACATTAAACTTTAAAGTAGGTATCCATAATCCATGTACCAGGTACATAATTAATATTAAATAATATTATTAAAACTTAAATTGAAATAATTGATAATTAAAAGTTACAGGTAATTAACCTAAACGTTTGTAAATTTATAGTTTGTGTATAACTTAAATAGTAAAATGAGTTTTCATAGTAAAATTGTATTGATTACCGGTGCTAGTTCAGGAATCGGTGCAGCAACTGCAATACACTTTTCCAAATTGGGAGCAAAACTAGCACTTACTGGACGCAATCTTGTCAACCTACAGAATGTAGCCGATCAATGTGAAAAGAGTTGTTCACTAAAACCATTTGTGGTTACTGGTGATCTAACAAATGAAGATGATACTAAAAACATTTTGGATTCCACTATTTCTCATTATAACCAACTGGATGTTTTGGTGAATAATGCAGGTATTTTAGAAAATGGATCTATTGAGTCTACATCCCTTGATCAGTATGATCGGGTAATGAATGCTAATGTTCGATCCATCTATCATTTAACCATGTTGGCTGTTCCGCATTTAGTGAAGACTAAAGGTAACATAGTTAATGTATCTAGTGTAAACGGAACCAGATCATTCCCTAATGTACTGGCGTACTGTATGTCAAAAGCAGCAGTGGATCAATTTACAAGATGTGTAGCATTGGAACTAGCTCCAAAAGGAGTTCGTGTGAACAGTGTTAACCCAGGAGTTGTAGTTACAAAACTTTTAACAAGACAAGGAATGAGTGAAGAAGACTATTCAACATTTTTAGATAAAACCAAGTTCACGCATGCGTTAGGAAGACCAGGCACCGTCGAAGAAGTTGCCAAAGCAATTGCATTTTTAGCTAGTAATGATGCTAGTTTTACGACTGGCGATTCAGTTTTGGTTGATGGAGGAAGACACGCCATGTGCCCAAGATAAAACATTTACTCATGTGATTTAACGGAAAATCATTTTTTATTTGTTTGTTTATTGTACAAATAAATGAAATAATAAAATAAAAAAAAATTTTGTAATAAAACTAATTGGTCTAAGTGAAAATATAAGTTATGACTATATAATATTATCCTGGGCATAATCATGGAAGTTAAATAAATCTTATATCTTTATGTGATAGTATATTATATATTTATAGATAATATATTCCACCATCTCTTCACTAAACATTATACTATATACATATTATATGATTATATTAGGTACCTATCTAAATTGTATGAGTGTATGACGACTACAATTATTGTAGTAAAATAATTTGAAATAAAATCTTATAATAAATTAGATTATACATGATTTTTCATCCATTATTCATACATAAAATTGGTTGTTGTAATTCAAAAACTAATAACTGTAGATACATGAAAATTTCACTGAATGTTTATATTAGCATTTTCTATACATGATAACATTTTCAAAATATTTTGATTTATTTTGAACTGTTTAGGAACATTTTCATTTGCCATTTTTTTTAGTTTTTTTTCTAAAAATATCAATAAAATTTTATTTGTTGGTTAATAAAGCTTGGAAATTTAATAGAATGCTTCTAATATATTGTTTCAAAGGCGCATGACAAATATTAAAAATCCTTAGTCACAGTTTTTTTTACAAGCATTTAAAGTTCCAAATTGACAAACTATGGAAAAATCACGAAAATTAGCAAATTATTTTGAGTTAAGAATTCGTAAAAATTTTTCTTTTTAAATCTAAGATTGTAAAATGTAATACAAGATTCCTTATAAGATTTTCTACATTTATCAAAAAAAAAATGTCTATAAGAAAGTCAAATTAAATTTTTATGACCGTTTGAAATTAAAATTTTTAAATAGCGATTTCCTTAGTTTGTATTGTTGTAATTCAAAAATTAATAACTATAGATACATGAAAATTTCACTGAATGTTTATATTAGCATTTCCTATAAACCTTACAATTTTGAAAATATTTTGATTATTTTTGAGCTGTTGACGGACATTTTCAGTTTTCAATATTATTAGTTTTTTTTTTCTATAAATATTAATTAAGTTTTAATTGTGGGCCAAAAAGGGTAAAAATTTAATACAAGGCTGCTGATATATTGTAACAACTAACAACATCAGTTGAAAAATATTTAAAATACATTGGCACAATTTTTTTTATAAGCATTTAAAGATCGAATTTTGACAAAATTTATCAAATTTATAATTGAATAATTATTTTGTAGTTAAAAATTTATAAAATGTTCAACTTTTATATATAAGGATTGACAATTTAAAACAAGATTCCACGTTAGTAGTTAATTCTACTACCTACCAACAAATCTAAAAACTACATAAGCACAGTTAATTTTATAGTCATTTTAAGTTCAAATTTGGATAAAATTACATATTAAAAACCTAGAATAACTATTTTAGTTATTTTGTTGTGGTTGTATAATATTATTCGTGGGGACTTGAAACTTCTAAAGTACCTACACTATTATGCATCTATAATAGTATCAGGGTTTGTTGTTGATGTATAACGCGTTATATCTAAGTACCTAATGAATATTGTGATATTATTAATTTGGAATTTATTATAGGTACCTATTATAGGTCAATTTTTTTTAATGCCATAGATAAGTATATAATATGTCTCATACCTAGACTGACATACCGTCTCCGCTCAGAATCGTTTTTTTTATACAATGACAATATATCATTGAATTCAAATTTAATACCATCCATTATACAGTGACCCACTTGTAACCTATTGTACAGCAGAGCATCTTTTAGAACATGAATACTTTACATACCCAAAACTCACTTAAAAATTAAAATATCGTAAGACACCAACGAGAGAACACAGCTGATACTGTTCTAAAAGTGTTCTTACCTAATAGGTAGTTTGATAATATGTTAATTCACTCTAATATAAAAACTGACAATACCCTATTGAAACTAGCCAACGGACATTTGCTATGTCGTAGTGTGTAAGACGGAGACAACACATACGGGTGCGACGTCCTCTTATATTCTATATACTAATTTCTAATCTTATATTAGATTTTCAAAGCTTAACAATTGTATTATTCTTGTAAATATAGCTCAAAGAGAGTCGCAATATTACGAACATAATGTTATGATGCAAAGACATTTCTAATATAAACGTTCAGTGAAAATTTCATCTATATTCTATAATTATTATAATTTTAGAGTTACACTTAAAAACAAAATATATTTTTTTCAAAAACTGGTTTTGCGTAAAAATTTGTTCTCCCTGACGTTTTTGAAAACAAATGGGAATTTTTTACTTTCGAATATTGTTTTTACTATAAGGATATTCAACGGAGGGAGAATGTCAAGGCCATCAAATAATAACCCAAAAGATCCCAATCGCCTTCGTGGCTTCGTGCCACTACATTACCGACCGTCACACGCACACACACACATACATATTTCTAATTAATTATACTATGTCTATATATATTATCAGTGGCGTGGTGAACATTTATAAACCTTGATGCCCAGCATATATTTCAGTACCTACCCCTTCTTTATCCCCTTAATATAATATATAATACATATAATTATTATGGAACTGTAAATATTTTAATTTTTGTTGTATTTTATTGGTTACCATAATGTACCCAACCACCCCACCCCAAAAAAAAAAAATTCACCATGACGCCTAGGCGTCATAAAACCCCATTCACCACGCCACTGTATATTATAGGTGTATTTTAATAATTAATTGTGTCACCTGTGAGTTAATTTAATATAAAATAATATGTAGATTACTAAGGTCTAAGACGCGTAATCGGCCGCAGCTGACGAGCCGGTTCGCGTCTTGGCAGCACGGCCTCCGAAAAATATACAGTCCGTTCATCCGTTGTGTACTGTCAACGCGAACCAATAACCAACAGAGCGAATCGCACTGTTTTCTATATTTAATTGACTAGGAAGCAAATCGCCATATATTTATCTTATTAAATTGTGTGGATGCGGATCTTCACATGTTTATAATTTAAAAATTTTAATTTAACTTTTATCTATATACCAATAAATATTACCTTATATTATACGTGCGTGAATCGCCGTAATATTATATTATTCTTATTATTGTATCTCAAGGTGCGTATTATAATTGTATTATAATTTATAACCCGCGTGGGCGCGTATCGCCACATTTTATGATTTATAATTGTTCGCTAATCGTTGTCTGTGTACACTTATTGCGACTTGCGTACGCAAATCGTTAGGGGTTCCCTTTAAATTATATTTAAATTGCGTGTGCGCAAATCTCCACATTCGTGTACTTATTTTATGTACATAGTGTGAATCACGATATTATTATTATTATTATTGTAGCATAAGTCCAACTGACCAGATTGTGCTCCACATAATATCTGTGAGTTATAAATTATTATTACCTATTATATATTTCATTGTTGAGCTGCAGTGGGCCATATTATACTTATTCAAGTTACAGCTCAAGTAGCTGCCTATTTACAAATGTATTCTGTATTGGGCTGTAAAGGGCTGCAAGTTTTAAACTTGTATAATATTGTGTATCGTTCTAAAATTATCATTTCCTTATTATTGCATTGATATAGTTGATACCTTTGTGTAATCTGTTGTTATGAATATTTACAAATGTGTATTAAAACTTAAAACTAATGACAGAAAGGTAACTCAAGAATGATGGTAACACGAAAGTTTGATATTGAGTTGCTCTTTTAATCAGGGATCGAAACAGTTTCAAATTTTAACGGTTACGGTTTCGGTTTTTGAAAGCGGTTTTCCACATTTTATGGTTTGGTTTAGGTTTCAAAAAAGGTTTTTCAAATTTATCGGTATCAAAAACGGTTTTTGAAAATTTTCGGTTTTGGTTTTTGGAACGGTTTTTGATAATTTTTTTTCTTTACCGAATAACTGCAGACTCTATTTTTACTATCTATTTACTATTTAGAGCTGAAAGCCCTAAAATATGTCCGATTTGTATAACTAGTATAGGTACATACAATATAGTAAATTTAAATTCAGCAGAACTAATTTTGTGTTGTTAACTTAAAATATGTTATGCCTACTTTTGCATACGCCATACAACATATTATGGTTGAGATCATTATTCGATTATATTAATATTTAATTGTAATTTACAATAACATCACACTATATTACAGTACAATAAAACTGTTGTTATGTGATTAATGGTTATGATATTTGAACAAAATATTAATTTAAATAAATATTAAAAAAAGAGTATTGGACTATTGAAAATATTGTTATTTAAAAAGCTTACTGTTAAGATACAAATATACATTATAAGATTTGGTACACACATTTCTAATTCAGGTGATTCTGAGGAAAATGATGATAATGACATAAGCAATTGATGACTGCGGGAAGAACGCGGATGAGTCGAATACAAAACAATTGTAATAACATTAATAAATAATAATATACACAAATACATAAAATAAGAAGAATACAGACGTGCATAGCCGCATAAATAGGGGCGAAGAAATAACAATAATTGTTATTTTTTTGCACCTATACATACAATTATTGTGATATTTGTATTATAATTTTGAATCAGTGAGTAAAGTAATGGTATTAAAAAATGTAAATAGAATAATATTCGTATTACCTATTAATATTTCGTAATAATCAATTATATCCTCGGTATTCAAACGAAATATTTTCTTCACATAAAAATACTCGTTTTAACTAGAATTATAAATAATATAGGTAGGTGATTAACTTTATAAAATTCGAAGAAACCGATATTTGTTTTAAATTTCAATCGGTTTCAAGAACGGTTTTTCAATATTGATAGTTTCGGTTTAGGCTTTCTAAACGGTTTTTTTAAGATTTTAGGTTTCAGTTACGGTTTATTAACCGGTGTTTTAAAGATTTTGGTTTCGGTTTCGGTGTTGAAACTTGAAATATGAAAAAACAGCGGTTTTAACCGGTTTCGATCCCTTTACTTTTAAGTACACACCCACACTGGATTTGCTCGGCGAGCACGTCCACCTCCTTTGAATGGCTATATATAAAAGATAAAACAGTAAAACACCGGTCGGTCGGAGAGTAGTGTGTATCGCAAGCTCCTATTACCCCGGCCCGTATATTATATAGATGTCGCCACGTCGGTGTAATAAAGATTTTAGTCTTATATTGTATCTATAATATTATGTTTAAGTGTTTAACCAAACATTTTCTGATTTAACAGGTAAAATCATAAACCTTTTATTCTATACCTTGTTCCAAAAGAGAAGACACCATATTTACGTACCTATAGGCTATAGTAAAAGTGTACAACCGGTTTTTTACTGAGACCGCTCGGTGCCTTCTCTTTTGGAACAGTCAACAGACAACAGGGTGTACCTATGTGTCCAAACGACTGGTGTGTTTATTTGTACCTAAAGTCCTAAAAGTGTTGGCTTTTGCCTTTTAGATCAATGGGCCCAAACTTTCAGCGCCCATTTAATACGTTAAATGGGGGGGGGGGGGCATGTCAGTGTTCAGTAAATGAAAAAAATAACTAGTTATACCTACTAATTATTTTTAACGAGTTAGATAGGATTATTTTAAACATTAAATTCAACTAGTTCAACTTAAAAATTAAAACTGACTAATTAGTGACTATAGTTAAGTTAGAAAGTTACTTTTTAAGTAAGTTTAGTTTAGTTAAGGCCCAGCTTTGGTTAAATTTGATTTCAATAAAAAAAAAAACAATTCTGAGTGAAAACTGACTGTCAGCCTATTTTTTGTGTTGTGTATATAAAATAGTAAAATATTTTAATATAGGTACGAAAAAGTTTCTAGTTCCCTCAATAATATTTTTGAATTATGAATACCTAATGATAAAATAATTAAAGTTGAACTTTTTGTTTAAATATGTAATTTTGTCAAAATTTTAACTTAAAATGCCTATAATTATGATTAGGTACCTATATATTTATTGGTTTCAAAATGAATTGCTTATGAAAAACTTTGTATTAAATATTCAAGCTTAAGCTATACAAATTAAACATATTATACAATTTTAACTAGGTACACAGTTATTTGCCAATTGTCATGATTTTGTAAAAAATTGGTCTTCATATCACTGATGGACAAACGATTGGTAAGTGGGAATTATATTTTAATGATCAAATAGTGCATGTTAAAAAATCAGGCATTTCCCCTCCCCATAACGAAATCATTTGAGTATTTGACCACCACTGATACAAATGCTTATAAAAAAGATTGTTCATTTGTTCGTATATTATATCTTTAAATATTTTTAAAACAGTTTAATAATTTATGAGGACTCTTGTATTATATTTTTAATCTTTTTGACCGAAAAAAGAATGTTTCATTGACAAGTATTGATGAACAACCAAGTCCATCCCCCTGGGTGCCATTGGAAACTGACTCAACGTCTCAGAAAGAGTCAACATTTTTAAAATATATTTTTATCATGTAAAGAAAATACATATACCTAACATTTGTAAATTGAAAAATTGTCACGGAAATGGCATAGCTACACGAAATTTTTAAATTTTTTATTACCACACGTTTGTATTACTGCTCAGAAAGATGGTGAAAATTTGAAATATCAATACATACCTAGTTTAAAATATGAAAGTAGGTACCTACCTATAAGGCATAATGTTATACAATAATATGATGGCATGCTGCCAAATTCCGACTCAGCGAATAGAATATGTGTTTGCCTAACCTTTAATCAGTGTTTTAAACTTTTAAGTATTTGAGTAAAATTATTCAAATACTTTTTTCGGTATCGAATACTTTTTATTTTGTAGTATTAAATGTTTTTTTAAATACTTTTTTTTGCTATTGAATTCTTTTTATTCTTAATTTGTTTCTACTTATAATTTATTATTCTTGTTAGTTGTTAAATAAAAATACCATGCCGTCGTGGTTTTGCTTCATTATACGATAATTTTCATTAGGTATTGAACGAATCATGATTTAAATGCAATAAATTATTTATTTGATTTTAACAAATTATTTCTGAACTACTCTCTTACTAAAAAGTAAAAAGAATTTTTTTTTTGTATTTGAAGATTATTTCAAATACTTCTGAAAGTAATACTTAAATACTTTACTATTAATACTATTTATAGTAGGTATTTGGGTGGTACAGTAAATAATTTTAAAAAGTATTTTTTACAACACTACCTATTATAACTTACTGATGTGTTATGAGTTTATAACCTATGGGCATGAACATTAGAGGAAGGACGCCGAACACAGCAGAACGAAGCGTAAAAACATGGTCCGGAATTATCGCATTCTGCCAGAATGCGCGTCGGACCGTAATGATGTCGTTTTTACATAGTGTATAGCATAGGACATTTAATGGTTTTTTATTTTTATAATCTAAATGGTGAAATTTATGAATAATTACTATAGAACATTTTTTTAAAACCAAATTACCCTCGATCGAATATAAGTGTTTCCAATAATATACGACTTTTATAAAAAGAGACAACAACTATATCTTTTTTTATAAAAGTCGTATATTATTGGAAACACATATATTCGATCGAGGGCAATTTGGTTTTAAAAAAATGTTCTATAGTAATTATTCATAAGTTACACCATTTAGAATATAATATTAAAAAACCAATAAATTCCCTATGCTGTACATGTAAAAACGACATCATTACGGTCCGACGCGCATTCTGGCGGAATGCGATAATTCCGGACCACTTTTATATACACAGTTCGGCGTCCTTCCTCTAATGTTCATGCCTATGGGCTAATGGCTTATCGGTTGTGTACTTTGGTGATGGCACGATGCAAAGATCTTAAAATATTGTGATTTGTGGAAGTAGGTTCACAAGTAACAACTAACTGGTTCCCTCGTTTTAACTTTACTTTTACTGTTTTATGGCAACTATTTTTTTTTATAATTAATGTTAGATCGCAGTATTGCAATAAACGGAATCAGAAAGTCGATTCTAATTTCTAATCCATGAAAGTAATTTTTCTTCTCTTATTGTTTGGACCACGGTCTAGTATCTAGTATCTAAGAATGTGTATAATGTGACCATGATTTGGACTACGGACTAAGATATACAGGACTGGACACGACAAGGTTGGAGGGTGTGGGGGGGTTGACTACGAAATGTTTTACAACAGGTAGTGTTCGGGGGGATATTTTCCTTTTAGCATTACTAGCGCCGTCCTAGTGGATACTTATGGAACTAGAACACATCATACAAATTTCTAGTTCCATAAGTATCCACTAAGACGGCGCTAGTAATGCTAAAAGGAAAATATCCCCCCGAACTCCGCCTGTTGTAAAACATTTCGTAACCACAATATTTATCTCGTGTCCAGTCCTGTATATCTTAGTCCGTGATTTGGACATATTTGTATTTATTCTGATTGCGTTTATCACAACGTGGAATTGTCCTCCAAATTTGAAATACCCTTATCAAATTCCATTCGTTATAAGTAATAGGTATTTGAGTATTTCCTTTCTGCGTTCGGAGCTTTAAGTAGTTTTTTATTCGTATTTTGTGGTACGATCAAAGTACTGGAAGTCACCATTATTAACCATTTATCAATCAAACATAAACTGCGTTTTTGATAAATATTTATATTGGTAACGTGTTGTTCAAAGGACACCGCTGTTGCCATGTCGACTATTGTGTCCGGTACGGATTATGGCAAAGTTTTCAATGACAATATACATGGACACATTATGCTCCATCCGCTTTGCGTAAAATTCATCGACACACCTGAATTTCAAAGATTGCGTAACATCAAACAGCTCGGTACCACTTATCTAGTCTACCCCTGTGCGAGCATTAATCGGTTTGAACATTCCATTGGGTAACTAATTTTAGATATACACTAATTTGCTGAGTAATAATTAGGTATTTTAAATATTATCCTTTTATTTATTTAATTATATATATGTATTGGCAGCATTCAGTTAATAGGTTAATACTCTGTTCCGAATATGAGTACACCAGGCATATCCATTCTCACTACTACCAACCAGCACCACTTCCTTTGTGCATAAATTGGTTTATTTTGAATAGAGTATACAATTTAGTAGACAATTCACTTAAAAAATTGAATATTTTTCTTTATGTTATTGTCTTAGATATATAGATTTTTTAAATTCTAACAATTACTGTCATTACTAATTACCTTTGATGAAAATTTTAGTAGTTATCTAAACTAAAAAAAACTAGTAATATGACCATATAAAAGCACTTACAACTGCATTTTGCCTATCTATGCCTTCCTGTAAAATAATTTAGAAAAGTACTTAGATTATGTGTTTTAATAGAACGCCTATAATACCTATAAATATTTTTTCATTAATTTGATTAAAATTTTTTTTAAATTTCTTTCAGTGTTTGTTACTTAGCTGGACAAATGATTGAAGCTTTATGTCGAAATTCAGGTGAAGATATTAATGTTACTAAAGAAGAAAAACTGTGTGTTGAATTAGCAGGCCTTTGTCATGATCTTGGACATGGTCCTTTATCACACAGTTGGGAAAGATATCTTAAAGCTTCTGGTGTCGATTGGAAGGTATACCAGTTTTCATTAGTTCAATTAATAATAATTTATACATTTATAATATCTATTTCATCATATTGAAAGATTTCAATAATAATAACTCGCTACTCTATATTTTCCATTTGAATCACTAATATTATGTATTAATAAGTAAACATTAACTGTATGTATATACCTAGTGAGAATTAGGTAATTTTTACATTTATTAGTTTCTATGGTGATAAACAAAATGTTGGAAAAAATGTATTAGATAAATTAAATATCTGTACCTAGCTCAAAAACATATTTATGTAAATAAAATTACATTTTTATATACAAGTAAATACTTACCACTCCAAAAAGCAAAAGTTTTATTGTTTCACATTAACAATATTCATTGATTAAAATAGAATGTATTTATGCAAGTTATATTCAGCAGATTCATTAATAGTTTTTTTTTAAATAACGGTAAAAATATATTGAGTTTGCTATGAATAAATAGTATCTATAATAGTTAGCAACAATTTTACCATACCTGTTATACAACATTATCAAATACAATTAAAACAATTATAATCATATCTACACAACAATGTATACCGGGGATGGGTAACTCTAAGTTACTAGAGTGACAATTTCTACAACTTTAAAATTTAGTAGGCTAGAGCATGGAAAGCAAAAAAATTAAGTAGATGACCTAATGTTTCATCTGTAAGACAATTTCTTATTTTGATTTGATATGCTTCATATTATGAAATGTAGCATGGACCAGATAAAAAAGGTACGCAGGCTGCTAGTTGCCCATCCCTGATGTATACCATTGTTTTATTTAAAATGTTCTGATTGTAAATAAATATGTAAAATATAAATAATATTATGGATTCTCGATTAGTTAGTAATGTATAAAGTTTAGGTACATACTATTATGTGTTTTAAATAAAATTATGTCAATTGTTTATTAATAAATATTTTTTAAGCACGAAGAAAGTTCAACTGAAATGCTGAAGTATATCATACAAAAGTATGATTTTGAAAAAGAGCTTAAAAAATATGGACTAAATGTGGAGTATCACGTTGAATTGATTTGTGAATTTATTAGAGGAGGAGGAAAGTTACTAGTAGAAAACCATTTCTTGTATCAGGTAAATCAGTTTTTAACTTATTTGTAAAAATTCTAGTTTATTAAAATTAACTAAGTACATTTATTTTCAGGTTGTATCAAATAAAGATAATGGCATTGATGTTGATAAATGGGATTACTTTTTACGTGACGGAAATTGTTTAAATTTAAGCATATCATTTGATTATAAAAGATTGATGCAGTTTTCTAGAGTTGTAGTTGATCCTAATTCAAACAAACCAAAACAAGTAATTGCGTTCAGAAATAAAGAGGCCCGAAACATATATGACATGTTTAGAGTGAGATCAGATTTACATCTGAGAGCTTACCAACATACAGCGGTTCAAAATACAGAGTTAATGTATGCAAATTAAATATTTATTAGGATTAATTTTGAGTATTTAATATAACATAAGTAAATTATATCATATTGTGACTATATTTAATTTTAAGTATATAATATAATTTGATACAATACTGTGTTCAGAACGAGATCATACTTCGGCGGCGACCGGTTTTCGTTCTGCGACGGTCAAGCGCCGTCCCCACTACGGTGGTACGTAGAGTTGTGTCAGGTGACCAAGCCATGCCCATGCTCACAAGTTGGCCGTTGAGGTAAAATCTCATTCTGAACAGGGTATAATATAGTCCGGTCACCGAGATAACTCTACTTTGCCCCTCATCCAAATGAACACAATCCACCGTCTTGAGATCTAATTTCTCCTACCAAGTGTATCACTGTGAACCATCACTTGACGACGCAACAGCCGGTCTCCTGGAGGTGGGAGTCACATTGGTAGGAGATATGTGGACTACGACAAATTTTGGTCGCCGCTTGGTAGTGTTCACTTTGTGACCGGACTATATTTTCATTTATTTATGATTTATGAATTATTGAATTTATTTTATTAAATAACTTGAAATTTGTATCATTGTAATTAATTAAATTTATTTTTCTATTTTAGGATGGTTGACATGCTATTAAAAGCAGAAAATTATTTTACTGTACAAATTTCATCTGGTACCAAGTAAGTTTTTTTCTATTGTCTTTATAGAAAAATTATGCTATTTAACTGTTCTTAGTTAAGTTATATTTTAGAGAGTTATATCCTATTAGCTTTTTATTACCAATCACTATTTGTAAATTTGTAAAGTTTAAAATGTTGTTAAAAAATGGATTAATTAATTGAGAAATCAAAATCAAAATCAAGCTTAAATTATGTTTAAACATATCCGTTTAGCCTCCTAATAGATTTATAATTTGGTCTGTAATGTGCAGTGTGCACAAGTAAAGAAAAAATATGTAAGTCATAAACATCCTTACTCCACTGTATATTATGCATTGAAGTACATCTATATATTCATTATTATCATTATTAATTTAAACAATTGTTGTAAAAAAAAATGTCAACTATGAATATATTTTTTTTAGGTTTGGTTTGAACGAAGCTCATACAAATATTGAAGCGATGTCTCGTTTAACTGACCACATTTTATATGATATTCAATATAGCCATGACCCAAATTTGGAAGAAGCTAAAAGTTTATTAAATAGATTACATACAAGACATTTATATAAATTTATTGGTTCTTATAATTTAATATTTGTGAGTATAATATTCGATTTTATTTCTTGATAGTATAAATTAAATACAGTTAAATCTCATAACAATGAACAATTAAAGAACTACACAGTTTGTTAGTATCAATTATTATTGTAAAATGTATTTAATAGTGGAAATAATGTCCAAATGTCCAATACTCCAATGCATGGTTTAAATTGCTATTGCAACTTGCAACTCTGCTAATAACTATGAAAAAAATCTCATTGGTGCTTGATTAATGATTATAAATTTATAATACATTCCAGAAAAATTAAGATTTTGAGACTTATAAATTATAATATAAATAAAACAATATACATGTATAAATATTAAATAATCATAAAACAAGACACCAAGGAAATAATTACAATTACTATTAATTTAACTTACAAATAATAATATTACTTTTAAATGATTGTTAAAGATAAACAAAGAAATTTATAACAAATCGATTGATGTTGAAAATTTAAAACAAAATCTTAAGAATGAATTGCAAAAACAATTTGGTATTGAATTCGGCGTTACAGCTACTTGGCTTAATTGTGGATATCCATTAATAAATCCATTAGAAAAAGTATTATTTTTCAAGAAACCATTAAGTCATAATGATTCAATTATATTTGACGATACACCATATCAAAATGTATATCCTATGAATGAGTAAGTAATAGTCTAGTATTTTAGTTGTGTATTTTTATTGTTGTCTTATTTGGCATCAGACATTACAAACAGTCGATAGACACATGAACCAAAACCACAAACACTGATTTTAATAATACCAATAGCCCATTACCACATGGTACAAATATGACTGAGAACAAGATGCAAATTCACATGAATGAACATAACAGTTAATTCTTTTTACTGACATAAATTATTGGTAATGGTGTATTTTTAGAAACATCTTTACATTTTAATCAATTTAAATGTGACAATTCAAAATGTATAAAAATATTTATTAATTTATTATAATTCAAATAGAATAATCTGTATTCATTAATTCATATGTGTCATATATAAAATGTACATGTCTGGGAATAGGGTTAATGAGATTTTAAGAATTTGAGATTCATTGGGCCATTTTTCTGTCTATACTCTGTTCAGCTAGAGAACGCTCGCGGGCTGACCAAAATCAGTTCTTCTGTGCATCCCCATGCCACAACCTGCCATAAAGAAACCGGGGTTTGATAGCATGGTGACGCAGAAGGATGTGCTGAATAGAGTATGGTGTTGGGTTTTGTGTTAGTTGGTTCATGCAGTTATGGAAAGTGCTGTAATTAATAATATGTCATTGTTTTTTCTTCCAGATTAGAGTTTTTTAAACGTGATATCAATGTATTTAGTAAATTACTTACATTAAAGGATAGTCAGCTAAAAGAAATCGATCTTGCATGCAATTCATTTTTAAAGAATTTCAGGCCATAATGTAAGTTTAATGTTTATATAATATTTATTGGATTTTTAGATATTGAATAAAATTTAATCATGTTACCTTAATTTTATTGGAAATTATTCAGTCTTAAATTAAAATGTTAATTATACTATTATTCGATGTTACTATTTTGTTAGAACTTCATAATACTTAATAATTATTAGGTATATGATTTTTAAAATATAACACTTTTTCAGTCTTAAATTTAAATTATATTTAATATTTTTTCTTGTGTTAATTTGATAATAATTATTAGGTACTTCTAAAATTATTATATTATCTTGATATATCATATTTTTCCATAAAAATGAACCAACCTTTATTTATTTCTTAGAATCCTTCAAATTTTTGAATAAATATTTAAATTTATAATAAACTTATATTATATTAAGTGATATTAAATTGACTTTATAGTTTATTGTACATATTCATACATTTTAACAGTATTAATAATGCACTCAAACTGTTTATATTTTTATAAGCAAAATTTTTTTAAACTTATGGAATATTCATTAATTATTGTTTAACCCTATAGTTATCTGATTCAAGTATACATTCAATTAAAACTAAATGACTAAAGTACACAAGATAAAGAATATTAGGAAGATGAAGAAATAATGTATTACACTTACATTATTAAGTCAATATTAGTTTTAATTAAAGAAAGTATCAATCAAAGTATGTATAAAATATTCTTTTTTATTTTATTTTCTAAAAATATGTCAGTCAATAATAATATATTATATTTTTATAAATATACATAATTACATTGTTTATTATATACTTATATTTTAACTGATAATCATGCTTTTGTTAAATTAATTGTAATAAACTAAATATTTATTTTATTTGTAACCATTGATCTAAAATGCTAGTTGTGATAATAGCTTTTAACAATTTATGTAATTTAATTTAAAATATTATTTGTTGCTTACAAATTACAATTGTTTTGATTTGTACATTACAATTATTATACTTTATTTTATTTTATTTGTTTAAAACATATTTACAACTAAATTTAAGCAGTTTATTTTTTATTTTGTTTGTTGTATCTATTTAACTTGTCATTTATTTAAATTATAACTTCAGGTATTGTAATATTTTACAATACTATACATTATTTTAAGTGGATGCTCGTCGTATTTCATACCTATCATAATTTTATACTTAGCTGGTGATACAAATTTACCTTTAATAGACGACAATTGACAACAGATGAGTAGATGACATCTAATTTATTCAAAATTTGAACTTGAATACCACTAAATATATTGTGGCCATGTATTTTTGAAAGAAAACTATTTCTTTTGTAAGAAAAATGAATAAGGATTAAGGAACCTTCTTTTAATTTTTCAATACTGTATCATTAAAACAAAAATATTAACAACATAAATTGAAGAAATGTTGTGCTTTGTCAGGGGAAAAGGCTTGTAAAACCACTTTACATGTTTACTTCAGGGTAGCACTGTACCAGTGTCAGACCTCAGTCCTCTGCAGTTTATGTCTGTTGTTGTTTGATGTCCCTTACCTTATTTGAGGCGCTGAGCACAAAAGTGGCCTATTTGACTCAACCATCATTCCAAGTAAATTAGCTTTAATGATTTTACTAATTTTTTATCACTGAGAACAATTTTAATTTTTTTTTTTTGGTGGGGGTGGGGGTTCTTGTTGAAATTCACTATAGATTACATCAGCGTTTTTGAAACCAAAAAAAAGTCAAAATTCCCTAAGTTAATGTTGGATAGGTCACTTTGCACTTTTCTTATAACCATTTCATAATTATAAAATGTGGTTTATGTCAAATTTGTATAAAAGAATCAACCATATCATTTCAACTAAACTCTTTTAATCAACTTTATATACAATTTTAAAATAACAATATAGGTATTTGAAATTCAGACTTATGAATTTTTATAAATCATATTTTTCATCAGATTTAAAATTATGAAAACTGGGTGCAACAACAGAATAGTGCTGCTCTCTATGAGAAAAAAAAGATATTAAACAGGCCGGTTTTACTTTAATATTAATGACACGATTTTAAACAACTTGGTACAGTCAATTTATCATTTTTTGTGGTTTAGGCCAATTTTGCTTTCAGCGCCTCATTTATGCAGATGACAAGGTAGTCATTACTCATTTTATTTGCCAATGTAATCATGAATCTTTGACCATTGTTCATTGGCTGTTGAAAGCGGGTCGTTTTTTCGTGCTTTTTTTTTTTTGGTCACTAAAGTTAGGAAAATTTAAAAAAAAAAGAAAATTCATTGGTTAAAAATTTAAAATACTAATTAAACAACAAAAAAAAATTAAAAAATCGATTTCTTAAAAGAATAAGGATTAAATAATTTAAAAATGTTTTCAAAATTAAAATCGGGTTTGGTACTGGGTGAATTTTTCTTTTTGGGATTTCATGTTTGACATTATTTTTATCACAAAATATAGTGAAGTACTGAAGTGTGACTGCGCATATGGTATTCGTACCTCTCGGCCCTTGGGTCATTAAAACCAACTACTAAGTACTAACCATAAAAACCAAAAAAATTTAATATTTTTAAATTCTGAGTGGAACGATAAATGTATTGATTTTACAATGATGTGTGTTATTTAATTTTTTTTAATTTTTTTGTCTGTGTACACGATAAGTAGTCGAAATAATGCTTCGATTTTCAACTTCAGTATCTTGTTCGTTTGGAAAGTGAATATCGTTGGTGCATTGGGGAGGTCAAAATTTAAAATTCCCAGTAATTTTTAAAAGTGCCAAGAAAAACAAAAGAAAAATTAAGGAAAGACGGGAATTTTTAAGCAAAATCGAATTTGGTTTTTGGTGTAACTTCAAAACAAATGACCGTAGATACATGACATTTTCACTGGTTGCTTATATTTGCATTTTTTATACACGATAACATTTTCAAAATATTTTGATTTATTTTGAACTGTTTAGGGACATTTTCATTTTCCAAATTTTTTAATATTTTGTCTAAAAATATCAATAAAATTTCATTTGTTGGTTAAAAAATCTTGAAAATTTAATGGAAGGCTCCTAGTATATTGTTTCAAAGGCAGATGAAAAATATTAAAAATCCTTAGTCACAGTTTTTTTTAAAAGCATTTAAAGTTCAAAAATTGACAAAACATGGAAAAATCATGAAAATTAGCAAATTATTTTGAGTAAAGAATTCGTAAAAATTTTTCTTTTTAAATCTAAGATTTTTAAATGTAATACAAGATTCCTTATAAGATTATCTACCTTTATCAAAAAAAAGCGTTTGAAATTCAAATTTTTACTACATTGGATATTCACTCGATTTCTCATGTAGCGATTTCCTTATTTTGTTGTAATTCAAAAACGAATAACTGTAGATACATGAAAATTTTTACCTACTGAATATTTATATTAGTATTTCCTATACACCATAAAATTTTGAAAATATTTTGAGTTTCTTTGAGCTGTTTACGGACATTTACAATTTTAAATTAATTTAGTTTTTTTTTCTATAAATGTCAATAAAGTTTTATCTGTTCGGCCAAAAAGTGTAAAAATTTAATACAAGGATCCTGGTATATTGTTAAAATAGCAGTTGAAAAATATTAAAAATACATAGGCACAATTTTTTTTTATAAGCATTTAAAGATCGAATTTCACAAAATTTATCAAATTTAAAATTGAATAATTATTTTGTAGTTAATAATTTATAAAATTTTCAACTTTTATATCTAAGGATTGAAAATTTAAAACAAGATTCCACGTAAGTAGTTAATTATGTTACCAAAAAATCTTATAAAATACATAAGCACAGTTTATTTTTATAGTCATTTTAAGTTCGAATTTGGATGAAATTACATAAAAAAACCTAGAATAACTATTTTAGTTATTTTGTTGTGATTGTATAATATTATTTGTGGGAACTTGAAACTTCTAAAGTACACTATTATATATCTATGGTAGTATCAGGGTTTGTTGTTGATGTAAAACGCGTTTTAAGTACCTAATGGATATCGTGATATGATTAATTTTGATTCTGGATTATTTTGACTATAGTACCTATATACATTTTTAATTCGGGACCAACTAGGATGCAGTCCAAAATATGATGATCTTTATCTATAAATCTTACTGTATACCCCGCACTACCGTCCATATTATCAGTAAATGAGTAAAGTACAAGCGCTCTATATATTTTCCATATACACTAATTATAGTAATTTCTTGTCTATTATTAGTATACTGTATAAGGTCTATTCTCATAATCTCTTTGATTCAGTTAACACATATAAACAATAAAGTTTTTTACAGACTGTTATTGGCTACAGCATTTAATTTATTATATAGGTATATTATACATACTTAGTGAATTTTTCAAAAAGTGTAATGAATCTGGCACGTAAATATAGGTGCTTATTTTTTTGAGGGAGTGGGGCGATTACATTTTAAAAATGGTTGCAGCTTAAAAAATGTGATAATTAATTATTAGTTACTATAATAAGGTCTTCGAGGGGGGGGGTCGCTCCCACCGCTCTTAAATTACGTAAGTACTAAGTACCTGTAATGAACTGTTGTTTTAATTCACATGTATTTCATTTATCTATGTAATATGTAATATGATATTAGTTAATTAAAATTATCTTGTTTCAAAGCATTTACATATAAATAATTCTACGATAGGTATAGAGATATACGTAGGTACCTATTACTAGATGATAATGTTTTGTGTTTAGACAGTTATACCATAAAAATATTTTATTAAAATTTAAAACGTGGAGTGCCTTGTGCTCATAGTATTTGACGCACGTTACTCATGTAGCCTCCCCCCAGAATAGGTACGTTGGTGGACTACGTTTATACGTCGGGATCTTGAGCAACGCTAAAAAACACTAAATAAACAATAAATTACTAGTTGCCGGATGGGTGACACCACCCTGGTTTTAGTGTTAAATGTATGCCATACAAACAGGTGTTCAAACCAACCGTACCCTCCCCTATCGTTTCTCCCAAATTTTTTTAAAAGTAGAACAATTTTAGCAGTGGATATCGCTTATTGACTATTGACTTATTATACCTACCTATTAAGATTATTTTTATATTTTTGTTAAACCAGTATAATAACAAAAATTAAGAGTTTTTATGTCTTGAACGAAAAAATGATGAACAAAATACCATACCGGAATTCCTGTTCGGTTTAAAAAAACATAACATTTTTCATAACTCAACACTATTGCTAATTTATTACTTTCCCAGTGGACTTTGGTAGTTTGGTGCAATACCGGCAAAATCTCAATAAATTAACGGAAATCTATCCACAACAAATTCACCCTTCGTCAAAACGACTGTCCGAAAATAAATAAATATGAATACTAAATGCATGTACAGCTAGGTAGCTCTTCTACTGTGAACTACCTCCTTCGCCGCCCAGCTATTGTTAACCCTTAAATGCATATTGTTGTATTCTTACGCCATGTTTTAAAAATGATTATAATATATTTTATAATTAGATAAAATAAAATATGATTAGTTATTGTTCTATATAATTTATTTATAATCTATTTAGATAAACTTTGCTCGAGCTCGACACTGCATAATTAGTATGACCTTTCTCCCGGGCAAACCATGTTGTGCATTCGGAAAAGTCGGAAAACCTGTCACCTTCTCACCTGTAGTAGTTTTGGAGGAACTTTGATTGTTTAACGATTGTATAATTGTATATAAATATATAATATTATATAATATAGGTACTCATGTACAACATACGGTAGACTTTGAAAGGTGGGACTTAATGGTTTGTTTTTAATTTCTAGGTATATTCTAGGGATCTATATAGGTATACCTACCTGTTTTCCGCTTAGCAAAATCGATTGAAGCAATACTAACTTCTGCAATAATAGTTACATTTAGCAAACCTTTAAAATAGGTATTACTTTATTTGAAATAGACAGTCTTGAAATCTATCAAAATATATACTGCAATATAGTATATAGTAGGTATATAGTACCTATATATAATAATTAATATGTATTATTATAGTATCTACGACTAGCCTACGAATAACATGATTAAACCCTCTAAACTTTAGAGTCTAAAGTATCACCTATATAGCTATATATGTACCTAGGTATGTTAAGTTTTTAATATATACCAAATTACCAACTATAATAGAGATATGTGGTACCTACTTGAAAAGAACATTGTAAAATCATTTATCAATAGATTTCAAAGAACAATAAAAATAAAAACTATACCTAACCATATAATTTAATTTTAATGAAGATGCATAAAAAGTAACTTCCTTTGCACACAAGTATATATAATCCTAACTACAAAGTATATATTATTGTTTACAAGAATACATTTTAACATTGTACATTAATACAATAAAACATAATATTAATTAAAAATTAGTATGTATTTAATACATAGGTACGTCATGTCCAAAATAAATTTAAAAAATTAATTTCTGTTCGGTTTTATGACCATGTAAATAATTAAAAATAAAAAAACTATAACAAGCATTCCAAACCCGTTCAAAATTAATGACTCAATTGAATATGTTCTGTAATCGTTTGCTCTGAAACAAAAAATATTGTACACACATATTTTATTCCATATACCTATTATTATACTGAGCAAAAACAATAGTATACGCCGTCTGACAGTGGTATAATAACTTAACTTATAATAATATGTATATAATATATTATATTATAGAATATAGATAATAGAAGTGCAAAATAGTTTTGGTCGTATCACCCGTAGAAAAAAATCCTACATACGCCACTGAAAACTACTGAACTAACTAATGTCCATATTTGATATTACCTAATAGTCAATTTATGTGTCACATAAGACATAGTTTAATATATAAGTTTATACTATAAGTCATAAAAAGTTAAATATATACTTATTAATAATTATATATTGTACTGATTCAAGGTAACATTTATTTTCGGAAAAAATTCATAACTGGGCAGTTTTGTGTTATCGTTTATCACATTTATTTCTGAAAATATTAACTACCTATATTAAGTAGGTACTTGATTCTAATAAGATCTTTATTATTTTATTATTCCTTTAATATTAAAACATGTATTATTAATTTAACTATTGGATTTTATTCAAACATTTTGAGAATGTTTAAGACAATAGGTGCTTGTGAGATATAATTTAAAAATACAACGAGATAAAATATAAAAGGAATTTTTTATTATGAAACAATAATAAGTTAGTTTAGTTTTTATCTCATTTTACAATGTCAATGTGAAAAAAATCTAAAAATATTTTTGAACTGTGTCACTGGCCACTCCATAGTCGGTTATCTGGCTGTATTAATTAAAAATGAATAAATAGTTTTAAACGCTACTCACTAGTTACTAAGCTCATTTAGATTTTAGACTAAAGATTAAAAAAAAAAAAAAAATGATAGCTTATTCATTCCCATGAATTCTAAATCAATATTAAAGAGTGTTCTGTATTGCAAGTATTATTGTTATAATTTATAATTAGTGATATTTTCTATTATAGGTTATAACTAGGGTTTCAAATTTCAGTATAATTCCCATATGCAGTAGCCAAAAAATCCTTTGAAAATGTTTAATTGCTAAAAACATATATTTAAAACTAATTTAAGTTCAAACTTTAAACTTTGAAAATGTACGGGTTTCTCGGATGATAGTAATGACTAATGATTATGACATTATACATAACACAATATTATTATTTACAGTTTTTGAGTCTGTATATGGTTGTGTAATACCTACATAATTTACCATACACAAAAAATTGATTTTTTTTAAATTACATAATCTATAAATCAATCTAAAAAATTGAAAACGTTAAAAATGGTAATATTATAATTCCACAATAAGATTCATACTTATGAATAATAAATACGACCCTTTAAATATAACTCCGTAATAAATAAACTATGAAAAAAAATATACACAGACAAATTAATGTGTCAAAATATTTTTAAAACTGTAGATAAGTAGGTGTTTATTGTTCGATAACTCTCAGAAGTAAGAAATAAAATACTAATTAGACAAAAAATTCTATCCTATCGTATTCTATAACAACAGTGCAAACAATTAATGATCGGTAATTGGTAAATATATATTAGTATGTTCCAGGGGCGGATCTGAAGCTTGGTTAAAGGGGGGCGAATTTCGAATAGGAATATCCATGAGTAATATACAAGTACGATGAGTATGGTCAAACCTGGTGGGTGGAGGGGGTCATCACCCCCAGAAATCCGTATATCAATCCGGATCAAATTGTATAATCCGTATACTATAAAATTATCAGTATACATTTTTTCAACCCCTCCCCCCACCAAGAAAAAGCATTTCCTGCTGTTGCCCCGGCAATGAAGACTTGACCGTAGTTCAAGTAATTTATGGAAAAAGAAGTACAACACTTAAAATTAATTGTAGGTACCTTTATTTGTTTTAAATAGCTATAACAATATATTGTTCAAAAATAGGTATAATTATAATAATAATTGTACGTTTCTTTTTTTTTCATTTGCAAATCTATTAATTACTTCTTCTATGTTTACAATAATATCTTTATGCGTGTGCAATAAAGCCAAGCCAGTCAGCCTATGTTCGCCCATTCGCGATCTCAACCATGTTTTTTAATCTACAAATTAAAAACAATAAGAAATAAGCAAACATGCAAAGCATTTCGGAATTTAGATGCAGATATTTTCATCTTAAATTAAAAAGCAAAATTTTATTTTTATCATTAGTTATCTGACCTGCGCAAAGTGGATTATCATGAAACGTTGTTATCATTGTTATCATGAAACATAAAGAGAAAAAAAAATAATAATTAATAATTATTAATTTATAAAAATGTATTGTGTAATGTGTAAATCTATAAATCGAAAATATTAAATAAATCTGTAATAAAAAAAAAAGCCCAAGGGGGGGTGATCGCCACGTCGCCCCCCCCATAGATCCGCCACTGGTATGTTCCGTTGTTGTTTAATTATTTTTTTCTATTGACGATCTCGGTATGGGTAAGTACTGAATACATTGATTTATAGTTATCTATTGATTCCGACGGTTACTGTTCATATTAGGTACCCACTGATTCCACAGGTTTAAATATTTTAAATTTCAAGAAAATAAAAACTTGAAATTACCTATAACGATAAAACTTAGAAAAAATGAAATTTTTTTCACCGAAAAGACTTTATGGAAACAATTGGTACTTACTATGCGCAGCTGCATAGTAGGTACATACTAAACTGTAGTTGCCTCCCGAAGTAAAAAGGTCGATCATTTTTATACGAATTGTCTCCCGATTATATACGACGTAGATATCTACTATCTATAATATACTCTATAAAAGATACTCCAAATTTGATTGTAAACGAAAATAATCTAGTATAGTTGTCTCCCAATGGCCAATGTGCAGGTATTATAAATGTATATACATATAAGCCTAAATGTTCCTAAACGATTCAAACATTTTATGAATATATTTCTATAATAATAATTATAACCTAGGTAATATTTATAATTTGAATTATATTACCAATGTTTTTTTATTGACTAATTATTATAGTATTATTTTTAATATTTGTATAAATGTAAATAATATAATATACCTGAGATCGATATTTTTTGGTTAGTATATTTTTTTAAATGTATTCAAAAATTTAATTTTAGTATGAAGTTGTTCTTATACTTTTTTAAAACAGCGATGTTTAATAAACCTAACCATATAACAAGATAGAAAATAATATATAAATACCTATAAGACTATGGTGTTTATCATTATTATGAAATATTATATTAAATATATACGTTACTTACACGTTCAATTATTATAATTAATTTTTCTAATATATTAGTATTATGTATAATAATGTACGTATATACAGTAGCGTACTCAGGATTTTAGTTGGGTTTTACCTGAGTAAATAATTTACATTATATTTTGCTAAAACGTTTTTATATTAAAATTGGTTATAAAAAATTATAGTTAGTCCCAAATTTGGTCTACATTTAGAACACTGAAGTACTTAACCTGGACACCTGGTCATCTATAGAGCCTCTTCGGGTCGTAATAATCGCGATGGCATCGTCCACCATACACCATACGACGATTATAGCAGACGTTTAGCAATGTTGTAAATTAGCAAAAAAAAAACTGAAACTATGATTATCGACGTCTTTGTCGATTGTCATATTTAACAATTTATTTTATATCTATTAAAAATGGCATACCATTGATCAACTCTGTGTATTGAAATGGTGGTAAATAAGATTTTTTTGTAAAAGGAAGACATTTCAGGGGGGGTCAGAACCTTAGAACCCTACCCCTACGTACGCCACTGCGTATATATATTTGCATCTATTTACATGGTAAATTTTAGTGGAATTTATGAACCACTGTACTTAATTATACATGGGAGGAACTAGTGCAAACATTTTTGTGCGAAATGAACTATTAAGTAAAAACCTTTTTTCAAAGCAGGTAGTTTTGGTGGAGTCAAGAAAATCCCTTGATACCACAGAACAATACTGTTCCCTGCCATGAACTACTACACTAGTAGTTCATGGTTCCTACTACGATAAAATAGTGGGGGCAAGTCGCAAGCAATTGTTAATTTGTTTAGGGTTTTTTCCATTTTATCATTTGAAACTTTAGGTAGGTATAATAAATATTATTTATTTGTTTATTATATGGTATAGGTTAGATCGATTCGATAGATCTAGGCTTTAGGCATGGGCACCCTACACAAAATGCCAATATACGCTCTCCCAACTTACAATTTGTTATAATTCATTAAATACCTCCATATTATGTATTCAAATGTCAAATAAGTAAGACAAAAGGATACCTCAGAAGGAAAGCTATAATGGAAAATTTGAAAAGTTGAAAAAGGTAAAAGAAGAACTTATTACTTAATAAGCCAAAGAAGAAGAAGAAGAAGATAAGACAAAACCAAATCTAAGGTCCACCCGTGGTTATAGAATGACATCACTATACTCACAACGTCTTCATGGCGTGTTGATTAACTCCAGCTATGAGGCAGGTGGTCGACACAATGGTGGTATACAGGCTGAACATTTTTCCCAGTGGTAACCCTATGCTGTGCAGACACGGCATCATGAACGTGGCGGCGGCGGACAGCCACTGGACCGTGAACAGGGCGGCTGCCAACACACCGGTCCAAGAATGTACTGAATATAAATGGCCCTCGTAAAACGCGCTGCCCTCGGGCTTGCCAATTTCCTTGTGCACGTACATGGCGCACAGCCCCAATGCTGACACGAGGTACCCGAACGTGTGCAACATCAAGTACGGCAGCGACACTTTTGATTTGTGGGATTTTATCATAAAAATTGCTGTGGACAATCGCAATCGCAATAATATTATTTTATGTACACTCTCTGTTAAGCATGATATTATGTGATATAATGATTAGTTGTACGTTGTACCTATCACATAATCAAATGTTAGCCTCATGTTAGCCTCCAAAAAATAAACTCATTAAAGTCCTTCAAAAATGCATGTAGAATATCACAAATAATTGTTATGCTTTAACTTTGTTAATATATTGGGTGGGATTTAAGTACACATAGGTGTATAAACGGGTTTATGACTTCGTGTGGCAACACTTACAGTTGGCATAGAGGTATATGAATCCAAGTGTGCTGAGCGAGTAATGCCAATTACAAAATTGGCTTTTAGTAATGGACGTTGAGTTCCTGTTGGGAGATACATCGAAATATCCGTGTTGATATATGACGGATCGACAAATAATTATGGCGACGCACGTAAGTCCAACCGCTTGAAATATCGTCCAATAACACAAACCAGTGTGATCTTTGTGGACGTTGTTTCGCTCTGGAATATTATACAAGACATATCATGATATCTAAATATAAATTATTATTTTATTAAATAGAAATTGATTCATTAAGTGTCCAAATTATCTTTCTATATAATATACAAATAGGTATACACGTGCGATTGTGCAAAATGAACGAAACATATTATAGCAAAATTCCGAACTGGACCAACACGCTGGTTAAACTAGTAGGAATATTAAATATTTATGAAGGCACATTTATTTTGAATTTAATGCTGTATGTTTAAATTTAAATATTTACATTGTTGAAAAGGATCGTTAATATTCCAATATGAATAAATGGAGAGAAATACATTTAGGTATACTGTATTTATACACTGTCTCAAATATCAATGATTGAAAACCGACTTAAAAAGTTAAGAATAAAAACAAGAAGAGTAATAATAATATGTCCTTACCATAATTATGTATCGCTGGGTGAGTTTGAGAAGATTGATAGCCATCTAAAACAAATAATTAAATATTTAAGTGAAATAGTTTATAGTTATCAAACATTTTAAGTATATAATGAGCCAATACATAATAATATATATTCCTAAATTCGGTCTACATTTTTCACAATATAACAATAATATTTACCCAAATTATACAGTGACCCCCTTGTAACCGACTGTACAGCAGAGCACCTTTTTTATATTAGGTACACGCATTTTTAAATAAAAAATGTGAAGTACCTATTATAAGTTGATAAACATATTTTGATTATTATTCTTTTAGGTATTTAATTAATCACAAATAACTAAGAGAATTAATGTTATATATCGATAAACAAAGTCGTTAAATAATGTAAATACACGAATACGTATTAAACATTGTCCTAACCCCATGATTTCACAATATATACAACAGAAATTAATTTTATACAGTTTGAAAGTGTTGATCTTGTTTTAATACTTTTATTCAATAACTTTAAATAATAATTATTAAAATAATTCGTTTGCCTTATTTGACAATAAACAGTTATTTTACACTAATCATACATATATATATATATATATATATATATACCGTAATAAATAATTATTAATCTATTTTTAATGATACAATTATTATTATTATTATTAATATTTACGTAAAAATGAAATAATTTAATGTTAACGGGAACAAATGTTATTTTCCAACTCTTAATTTATCTTACATAATAAATATTATGTACTTATACTTAATTTGAATTAACGTCCTAACCTATATTTGTATTATAAAATAATTGTATTTGTTACTAATGTGCTTAGTATTCATACTTGATGTTCGTGTGTAACGCCATGGCATAATAATTTTAATCAAATAACCTCATTTCAGAGTTCGTATATTATTCTAATAAGTTAATCATAAAATGTTCATAAAATTAAAAGAGCAAAGAGTAAGAGAGAGAATGCGTTCTCTTAGCATAAGTTTCGAAAGACAATTGCGGCATTTCCATCGGGTGTATGTGTATTCCGTAAAGCACGCCTATTAATGACTATCCCAAGGGCCAAGGATCATAATTCATCGGATATTCTACCGCTTACCGTCATTCCTTTGCGTTCCATTTCATAATTAAAGGCTGACGAAGACCTTTGATTATCATTCACGATTCACCCTTTAGCCAACGGAAGTATTATGCAAATCTTAAGTGAATAATCTTAATAAAATGATCAGGGGAAAGTATCTTCTTCGTAAGCAATCAGGGGCGGATTGGGGAGAGATTCCGGCCCGGGAAAATACAAAGTATACCGGCCTTACCAATTTACCAAATATTTAATTTTAGCCAACATAATATTATTATGTATTACTATTTTAACATAACTACACGTTTGACAAGATATGAAATTTATAAAACTTTATTCGTAGTGTATATACATCGATATCAAATTTATTTTTATTTTTGAACAGTTTATGTTTACACATTTATAATAGTCCAAACTCCAAGTACTTATATATAACACAGTAAAAGTGAATAATTTAAATTACTAATGTTACGATTTTTGTATTTAATAAGAAAGGTTATTACCTATTCAATAATATTTAATAATGCGTTTTTAGACTTAAATAAAATCTTATAATTTACTTCCACTTAATATACCTGATAGGTAAATTAACAGAATCAACATGCAAAATGTATGTGTTTTACTATATTTTCTAAAAAAATGTTTTACTGTGGTTTATTCATAATAACATTATGTAGGTACTTCAATTCTAAACAATCAGAAAAATTGTATAGTTTTGTTTTCCTTTAGTATTATTATGTAATATAATATTGAGTAAAATGTTTTGTCTCCGTCTTAGTACAATCTAACAAATTATCGTTCACTATCTGTATTCACCGATCAGCCGAAACGATATAATAATATTTAGCTGTAGTAACTAAATATTATAGAAATTATTGTATACCTACGTAATGTTACTTCCCTATTATTCAATAATTTATAAATTCGCCTAAACGATCGGTTAATTTCTGACCCAAATGATATATGCTTTACTCAAGTTAATTTTGGATTATTCGCCCAAACGAATGACGTTCAAATTTTGTACACCCGAAATACGTGTACTACTGTATTAGTATACAGAATTAAAAAGTGTATAAAACAATTTTCGGAAATTTAAACACTGTTCAAAAGTTACAGCAAATCATAGTTTTTGAATATTACAGTGCTTACTGCTCAAATCAGGTTGACTTTTTCTATTTTCTACTTCCACGGGATGTCAAGTAAAGTAGACTTTTTCCGAAGTTTGTCGTTACCTAGAGATCACCCAATGTGGTTTTACATAACATATCAAGGGTTGTTTTCGATTTTAACTGTCCTAACTAGTGACCCCGCTATATTACATTTGCTGTTTTTGCTTTTCGAAAAATACTATATTTTTGCTTTCTATCTCTCATCGTTGCGCCATCATAGATTGCCTACCTGATATACCTACTATTGCATACTGTCCGCAATCCAATTCGTATTATCTTATTTTGAAAAATCGGGGAAAAAAATGCAAATTTACTGGGCTGGTACCTAATAGGAATTTAAGAATACATAGTTATTTGAAAAAGCGGCCCACCGGGAAAACTCCCGAATTCCCGGTGGCCCAATCCGCCCCTGTAATAGCAATCAAAATGAGAATCGTTTACGCCATCTTATAAGTCATTGTCCACCGATGCACTAAGCACATCACAGCGATATAAAAACGCTTATGCACGGGTGTTGTTTAGGTACGAAAGAGATGCCTATAGAGAAAACTATAAAAAAAATATAAATTAATGTTGCTTATATATCGCGAGGCATAATGTCTGGCTGTCGTCTGACGTCCAAAACCCACAACAAAAGAACCCCACGATTTGTTCTTGTTCGACCACTGTCTACAGAGCCCCTCCTGGGATAGATATTACAGTAAAATGTCATCTTGACATGCTTTCTACTCAGGATAACTTTCGCATGTCCATCAAAATTTAAATTAAAATCGAATTTTCCACCCCACGTCAAAATGTGACTCTGCGCGCATTTTCAATCTCTCTCACACTCTCTTATTTCAAGTCTCCCCACCCCGTTATCTCTCCCATAAATGTATACGAAGATAAAATATATGTACCTATTAGATTACAAGCACAATATATTAATGATATATTAGTTATAAGTTGGTAAACAATGTCTATAGTTTTATATTTTATGGTGAATAAATTATAAAATATATTATTTTGATATAATGAGTATACCACCTTTTCGTAGCTTAGTTCAGGTTACCAAAACTTCTACAATCCAAATTATACTATGTTCTGTGAATTATTTCTAAACAATTGCATAAAAAAAAAAAAAAAAAATGTAATAATAAGTGTTTCAAAAATTACTTTTACCTTTGTAAAATTGCCCTAACAGACGTTAATTAATAATAAATAATAATAAGTTTTTAAACACCAAACTAATACTAATAAATTAGTTTAAAAATATTGTTCTAATTTTAAATTTAATAAGATAAAATATTGGCTCTAATTTCCCTAATTAACAAAATTACACTTCCCATCTCGTCCACTCCATAATATCCTTTTCCAATTTACCTTACAACTTTTTTCTATTTCGCTACTTAATGTTTTTACACAAAATAATATTTGAATCAGTAATAATTCAAAAGTCATTTGGATATTGCTGTTGTAATAATATTGTTTTATCTCTAAATTCTGATGATGAATAAGTGAATAATTTGCAATGTAACTATGTAACCTGTGGAAAATCGTTCATTGGTGACGAAATTACAAACAATATAACAATATAACGAAATACGAGTCACAACTCATAACTAAGCTGACTGGCTCGTATAGTCGCGTATGTCGTATTTATCACAGAATATAACAATATTACTATATAGGTAATTTATATTTTTATAAATTTATAATAACTATTTTTTTTTAATTTCAACAGAAATATTTTTTATTAATGACAAAAAAAACAGTACCTAATCAGAAAGAATCTAGACACTAAGGGCCCTAATGCAGCCCTATTCCTTGCATTTTCGTATTTACACCACTGGCTCCTCCTAAACGGCTGCACCGATTTTGATGAAATTTTGTGTGTGTGTTTAAAGTGGGCCTTTGAATGGTTTGGATTCACAATTGGACCGGCCCAAACCGGGGAGATGCTCAAACAGAGATTTTGAGATTTACGATGGACATTTTTGTTTATAAATGGCTGCTATTCGTTATAGCAGGAATAATTAGTAGAAATTAGTATTTATTTATTACTAGCTGATCCCGTGCACTTCGTTTCCCGTTAAATGTACCAACTCTATATGACTCAAACTTTGTTCAATTCGTTATTTAATATTCGGTGTATGGTGTTCAAAATTTATTTTAACTCTTCTGTTGCAAGAGATACAAATTCTGATTCGCAGCTGTATATTATCAGGTAGGCAATCTAAACGCGGTAGATCGCGGACCCTGCTGTTTGTACGTAACTTTATAATTTAACTCTAAAGTATCAAAGTTATACCAAGTAGCAAGTATGTCACTGAACTCCTCCTAAAAGGCTGAACTAATTGTGAATGCCGAGTATGTAGACCAATATTTCCAACAAGACGTGGAATTGTTTTATGTATGTAACTTATATGTGAGTATAATTCTCTTAATATTTAAGTAATTGCGATACTTATAATATTAAAACACAGCATACAAAACAATTTAATGCATTGATTGAATACACTGATTTCACGGCAACCAATAATTATTATTATAATAGCTTTAAAACCCTTGGAGACCATTTATAAACAAAAATTTCCACAGTAAATCTCTAAATCCCTGTTTGAGCACATCCCCTGGTTGGACCTAGGGGGGTGATTTGTGAATTATAATCTAAATTATCCAGGGCGTCACCCAAACACATACAAAAAAATTCATTCAAATTGGTACAACCGTTTAGGAGGAGTTCAGTCACAACACACGTACAGAAGAATTATATATATAAAGATATATATATTTGTCAATATATTTCACATATTGACAAAAAATAATAATAAAAATCAGGAAACATGCCCGAATAACCAATAGCAACCAATATAATATAATACACTGTTGCGCCACTGTTGTATTTTTTACATCCAGATTTTCTACTTTTCAGGTAGATTTTCCTAAAATTTTCTTTCGTAAAAACCTTCCGTGGGAAAACAAAGGGTGCGGGATTAGCTAGTATATTTATAAATATTTTTAGTGTCAAATAATATTATTGTACAGATTGTAAATGTTCATATTTTAGATAAAAGGTAGACAAGTTGGTATAGGTTAGGTAGCAGTTAGGTCTGCTGTGCATTAGTTATTGAATATTATGTCATTGTAATGTATGTGTTAGATTTGAATTCAATGATATATCATTGCATATGAAAAACGATTCTGAGTGGAGACGGAGTGTCATCCTGTTCATATCATACTTTTATAAATAATCAAATTGAATAACTATAAAAACCACTGAATATCAAATATCGTAAACATTTTAAATTCAAAAACTCATAAAAAATTATAGTTACTTTTCGGTAGAAACACTTAAAAGGGGAATCTTCTATTAAAATGTCTAATGTTAGCTATGATGAACATTTTTTTTATAAATTTCTAAGTGAAAAAATAATTTCCATATTTCGAAATCTTGATGAAGTATTTCAAAATTTGAACTTAATATGCTTACAAAAAATAATTATGCCTATTACCTATGTATCATTAATATTTTTGAACTGCTACCAAAACAACTTTCGAGAAACCTTGCATTAAATGTTCCATCTTTTTTTACTGAGTGGAAAAGTTTTATCAACAATACGTCATAGGTACCTAATTTTAAGAAAATTTACAAAAATCGAAAAATTTTTCATGGTTGTAAATATTTCAAAAAGATTCCAAATATTGTGGAAATTTTATCATGTATAGAAAATGTTAATATAAATATTTGGTCAACGGTCATTAGTTTTTGAATCACACGATGATGCAAAAATGAATTGCCGGAAATCATTAGTTTTTATGGTATAGCCTTTACGAAATTCACGATTTTCGGTGTTTTACACTCATGTACAACGCTTATAGTTTAGGTAAATCGACGTTTTAAAAATTATGGTGTAAGAATAATTCACCCACCCATGGTAATTTTACATACTAAGTAGAGGGATATTTTCGATTTTAATACACTTAAAATTTCGAGTGTTTGAGCAAGAGCGCAACAAGAAGTGACGGGTGTCTATGAAAATACCAAAAATTCCTATTAGCTATAATTTAAAAATAAGTCTGACCACCAAATTCAGACTTCCCCATCGATTTCATCATGTTTAGCTTAATAGTTACGTTAAAACAAAATAAAGGTGGGTAAATGGATGTCACTCTGCTGTACAGTATACGGTATACCTATAGGTTACAAGTGTGAAGATCGTCACTGTATAATGGATGGTATTAATTTGAATTCAATGATATATTATCATTTTATATGCGAAAAACGATTCTAAGCGGTGACGGTTTGTCAGTCTGGATATTTTATATTGTTATTATTTATTATAGCCTGTAAGTTGTGAGCGATGAGCATACTGTACCTAGTACCTACCTATTGGAAACAAAGGGCGATTCTATAAATTCCACTGATACACTAGGTATATTAGTATTTTTAATCCATACAAATAAACGTAACTATTTACCAAGATTATTTTTTGAGCAAATGAATTATACTATTTTTAATTTTTGATTGTTAAAGCATTTAAGTTCAATCCAGCCTACATTACCTTTGCCGTGATGGAGTGATTCTCGTAATACAATTAAATAAAAATATAACATATATAAGAGAAAATATGTCATATTTTCCGGTAGGTAGCATACTATACAAATCAGGGGCAGACCTGAAGCTTGTTTAAGGGGATGGCAATAAGTAGGAATATTTTTGAGTGATGTATAAAGTACAATGGAAATTGTATTTCTATATTAATTAATAATTAACTATTATGAGTTCATATGCGAATCCAAGTTCAGTTTAAATACTCTGGTACATTGATTAACAATTATTGTAACTAATATAATTAATTAAATAATCTTTATTACAGTTTATAGATCTGACTTTTCTGAGTAGGTACACAAAAATATCATGTTTTAAATCCAAAAGTATACAACTTTAAGTTTGGCATAAATGCACTTCAGTTGCCAAGCTTTAAGGAGTTTTTTTCTTCAAAATACGTGTTTTTCATTATTAACTTTATGATACTTAAAAAAAAACTCTCAAACTTAATTTGTAAGTTATGGTCAAAAGACATTTTTTTTAAATTCTAAATGTTTTTTAAATAGTTTATTTTACGATGTAGATATACGGTGTGGTCACTTCCGATCTTTGATTAAGACATTTTTGAGTCTTTATTTTACGGCATCTAATGCGGGCATTGAAGGCCCATCCTTTAAATAATTCTGTGTAGCGGTACCTATATACGCATTAAAACTTAGAAACGAATGTAGCTTATTACTTCACATGCGATTTTTTGGAATATTTTATTATGGAAATGTTAGTATTATTAGGTATGCTTAATGTGTTGATGAAATCAGAATTTCTACATCGTATTATCTACATTGTGAAATTAAATATTGAAAAATGTTCAAGGGGTGGGGGATAACCGCCACGTTGCCCCCTCCCCCATAAATCCGCCCCTGACACGAATACCAGAATACTTATACTTTGTATACCTGTTCAGAATACGTATTTAGTAGATGGATTATTACTTATTCGTAATAAGTATTCGAATAATTTTCAAAAAATATATTGTCTAGAAATAAAATCGAATTACATATTTGTATTCGTTTATAAAATAAGACCGTCCATCTAGTAGAATACCATCATTTATGTTATGTAGAATGTTAAATGATTGTATTAAATAAATTAAAAAAAAATTTTTAAATTAAAAATTATCTTCAATTTCGGACGTTCACGAATCTATTTTTCAACTAAAACAGAATTTGAAAGATTCCTTGGAATTACGAATTTGTGTTTTTATGTATTATGAGTTATGAGTAGATATATTGTATATTATACAGGATAGCTACATCGGTAAATTTTGTTGTTAAATCCAGATTGTCCACTCGAAGATATTATAGAAATCATGTTATGAAGCTCTTTTTAAATACCTGCCGAACAAGGTTAAACTTATTTTTATACTCTGTAAATAGTGTTTTGATTATTATAGCACAAGTGCTGATAAATTACGAAACAAAATGGAGTAGAAACAGTGTTAAAATTACGCATGTGTGGATATAGATAAACGATTACTTGTATAATAACACTATATATATATAATAAGATTTCATTTCAAGTGCTTTATAGATGGGGAAAAAAACGCAGCAGCCACTCATGTCGCCGTATATGGGCATGTCGATTAAAAAACATAATATTAATAATATTATATGCAATAAACATTCGACACCAATGAAAACGATCGCTCATCTAGGTGTTCGAAATATATAATATTTAACACCCGATCACGTACTTGCTGTTAGGTTCCCCGAGCGTTTGACGGCGTTGCTGTTGCTGATGATCTGCTCGACTATCGAGTTTCCAACATCGTCCAATTCCAACACCTCCGTGTCATCTGCACACGATAAAAAATATAGCATCAAAAAATTATAAATCGAATTCCGTGAGATCAGAACACGATGTTGTCCCTAATCCGACACGTATAATTATTATTCGTAAAGGAATAATCCGTGTATTACATAGGTACTCGATCGTAATTATTATTATATTTACATCGGCGACAATGTTACCTTTGACGGAGCTGGTCGTGCTACCGACTGTTTGCAACGCGTACATGGTGGTCGGCCAATATTGGGTTCACTGTTTTGCTACACCACAACAATTACAACGGGATTTCGAGTTTACGTAACCAATATAAATTATATTAAAATGTATTATAATTCACAAATACTGTTATATTATATAGGTATACTATCACGCGTAACCTAAAACCGACTGCTGATTTCCAACCGAACGACGACGACGAGTGGATATCGAGTCGTACCTATTGTAGTTTGTAGTCGTTATCTCGAGAGCCACTCTCTCATCGTGTGGTACGCTCGGCTATTGGGGGTTTTCGCGTATCTCTCGCTCGACATTCGAATAGCTGCTGAACGAGCATGCCCGAAGTTGTACGTATCAAGTTTCACGAGACTTAGTTCGAAACCGTAGTGGCCTTGTGCGGGAATTTCAGTTGGATTTCGTACTGCGAACACGGCGAAATGGCGTGACATCTGTGTGAGATCTCGAACCTTAAAAAGCTTTGCGTTTTGGGTCTTCATTCTAGTGTAGGCACCATCAGTAGGTGCATGATATTTTCTTTGCTACCGCTACCGGACAAAGAAAACGTGAATAATGAAAAAAAAAACGCACGTCGAATATTATATTGTACACGATTTTTATTTATTCATATATTATATATTCAAAAGTCAGTCGTTAATGTTATGATACAAAGATAAAATGCGAAAAAAAAATTAGCACGCAAACAATAATTGTTAAGGCACTATATATGTATACATATAAATATTAAATAGTATATATGTATAAATCATACATACTGTTTTAAATGTAAGTTCTAATAAATATTAAAGGCACAAATTCGATGTTCAGTATTTTTATTTGCGAAAAAAAATAGTTAATTTATTTTTAAGTTCGAATTCACTGGTGGTTTTAGTGATGGAAGACTAGACGAAAATAATTAATATTTTAAGTGTATTTTTTCCTATTAAGCTCGTTTTCAAATTCAGAGATCTGTTGATTAATTTAAAATAGAAAATAATTATGTATACATCAAATAATATAATATTAAAATAAGATATTAACAATATAGAAAAAATATACAGAAAAGGAATTAAAACACATTTAACAAAAATAAATATTAGGAAGTTTCTGAGTAACATGTTTAAGTTAAAATTGTTTTTTTTTTTTTTGCTTACAATAAAGCTGCAGAAAATTAAACATTGAAAACAATGAATCTTTATTTACAAGATACTGAGGTCTACTCCAATTGTGTTAATAATTCATGACTCCCAAATAAAAAAAAAAAAAAAACAAAGTGTTAATTTACTATGATTTACACATCTATGGCAAGTGTTCTAATTTCTAACAAAAGCTGTAAAAACGACAGATACTCTGTGTTTAAGATTTTGTTAGTATACAACATGTAGTTTTGAACACATTTGGATATTAAGATTTGCCCATATAAGTAGGATTTTTGAATGTTGACGTGGCTTGTCTGTAGATTGGATTTTCAGCCTAAAAAAAAAAAATATGAATTTAATAAAAGGAAATGTTTTGTTTATTTAATAATACTTACTGTGTCCCATTTGGCAATCATACGCTCTTTTTCAAACTTCGCGAATTCTCGTCTATCATTAATTGTTGTTAGTAGTTTCCACAGCAGTAAGAGAGCCATTCCAATTAATACTATAGCTCCAATCACGCCCAATATAATACCTGAAATTATATATGACAATTAACTAACAATGTGCATAAACAATTTATAAATTTAATATATGGTATGTACCCATGAAGTAAACTTGAGGAGGACATTCACGTTCTTCTTGTGCTCGAATTACGATCTTTCCACTTTGATCATAAGTGTAAACATATGCAAAACGACAATCGTCTTGATCATAATATGAACACATATTTTCATCTTTGTCTTCATTAGCTAAATGTTAAAAATAATATTATAAAAATAAATGTTTTGTTAAGATAATGAGGTACTCATATTTTACCTTCAGCTACTTTTACTATGATTGGTTTGATTGTACAACTTTTTTCACATTCTTCAGGTGACATAGAACCAGTCTTGTACACGAGACATTGAATACATTCTTTAAATTCTTGACATCTACCCGGACAAGTCTAAATCACACAACAATTTAATAATAAATATTAAATAATATTAAATTTTACAAAAATGTTAGTTAAAAATTGATATGAAAACAAAATACAAATTTTATATAATAATTTTTTTATTGACTTACTGGGCATTTTTGACAGTATTTTCCAGAATATCTTATACCATTTTCTTCAGAGCACTTACATTGACCACATTCACAATTCCCACGACCCGAACATATTTCATTACTACCATCCATTATGCATGTTTCATTTGTAGCATGACAATCACATGATTCACCTGTCCATCCTGGGATACACTTGCATACACCACAGTCACATGTACCATAACCACCACATAAAGCACCACCAGATCGGTCACAGGAGAAATTATCACATTCACAGTATGTACCATAAACTCTCTAAAACATATTTTGAGTTATTAGTAACTTATCAACCTAAATAATTTACATAAAAAATAAATTTTACCTCCTCTGGATTAGATCTGGCTTGACAATCACATTGTCCACAGTTACATTCTCCACGACCTGAACAATTTATTTCCGAGTCATTGTTCAACCGACATCCAGATACCATGTATGTATCATTACCATGACGATTATTGTTAGCATCACATTCACACATACGACCAAAGTGCATGGAATCACATTCACAAACACCACACTTTAATGTTCCAGCTCCACGACAGTCGGGCGATTTCTCAAGATAGTCCTAAATTACATTTTAAATAATTAATCTATAGTATTTGGCACTATGAAGTTGCTACTTACAGGATGACCAACATTTTCACAATCGCATTCACACTGCATATCTAATGACACAGTTAATGATTCATTAATACCAACAGGGTAAATTTGAAAAGTCTGTGTCCAATCTTTGCGATTTGGTGGACATGATGTTACTTCGATTTCAGCTTGAAAATTGACTACAGTCCCAACTTTAAGTCCATCACATTTATTAGTTTGTTTTAACACACCATCTTTATCGAGACAGCTTGAATAATATGTGACTTTTATAGCACTGGATGCTGTATCTCTCATTTCCACAGAAGATGATATTTTCTATAATACAATCAATAGAAATTAAGATTCTATCACAAAGAGCAAGAGCATAGAATGTATTGTGATGATAAATAATAATATATTAGAAAATATAATATTTCTTACACTGTACTGATCTTTAACTAAATCAACAACATTTTCTGAATTTTCGGATAAAGTACCAGCTGAAGCTCCTTCGATATGTTGCATTAGACGTTCATAAACATTTATTTGTTCTCGTGTTACAGCAAAGATCATATTGATTGAGTTTTGCCTTACTTTTAAATTTATCTAAAAAATTGTTTAATCATATTACCATCAAAAGTAAAATAAGTAATAAACACTTCTGTATAGTTGTTACCTGTGATATTGATGGGTAATCTTGTAAAGACGAATGTGTGTAACTACCTCTATTATCGAGATGACAACGACCATCATTTGGTTTGATAATCCCACCAAGCTAAAGGTATAATGAATGGCTAAATGATTTAGAATGTAACTTAAGTAATAAAGAATCTTACTTTTCCATCACCAGCATAATGAAATCCAGCATCAGTTGAGAATAACAATAACCGCCTGGCGCGCTCCCTCCAACCAATTTGATCACGACAGACAATGGCTTGCATGATAGCATCAAAACCACCTTCTGGTGCATCTAAATTACCTGAAACTGGCGCTCTTTGGACCTCACCCTAAAGTAAGTATTATATTCAATGAATAAATGTATCAAACTAATATTTTACATGCATTTCATAACATAATTAATACTTTAACTCATAAAATAATTTAAAATTAATCATGCAACAGAAACATATAAACAAGCAGTAAGTCAATCACATTTTTAAGTAAAATAATTTAAAAAGTGGGCATGATAAATGACAGTTTATTAAATGTTAATAATAACAATTAAAATAATATATTTATTTTTGTCTTTATACATTTCTGAAAATTGGAAAGTGAAAAATACAAAATTATATTATATTAGTATTATTAAATAATGTTTATTCTTAATGATGCTGAATATTTTTCAATGGACTTACGGCAAATTTATTAGTATCTTGACTGAGAGACATGACATTTTGAAATCCGTATGGAGGAGCATCACAACGAGGACATGGCTTCACCAAGCTGGATATTATACAGGCACACAAAAAATTATTACAAAATAAGTTTTGTAATAATCACACAGTTACAGAATGATAGTGCAATACTATGTGCACAACAAGCTTATTATCCCTCATTAAACATAGATAGGCATATGGGTATGAATATGATTCATCAATTATAATTTATTTAAAACCAACAATATACTCCATGTATTTATTTAAAGTATAAAAAAATAGGTTAGGATAATGTTTTGCCTAGTGTGTGTATAAAAACATCTACAACAAATAAAAATATAAAAGCTAAGAAATATTATTTTTAAACTATCTAAACTACGCATGAAACTGATATACTCGTACAGTCGTACATATTGGACTTACAAGTCATGCAAATACATATTAAACAACTATAGCCTATAGGAGTATTTTATTTTAGCTAAATTACAATATCAAAAGTACTGTTTTTAAATCAATAGCATATTAAACTTTAGTTACTAAAAAAATATAATATTATGTACTATTAAAATAGTATATTACTTTATAAAATAATTATATATTTATTAAGTACTCTAAAATAAAAATACCGTCTCAAAATCGTAGAAAAATGTAAAATATATCTAAATTCATGATTCCAGATACAGAATTATCACCTTGATCAGTTTAAAAATAATGAATACCTAGGCATCGTTTGTAATTTTTATGAATAAGAAATAATAGAAGCAGCTTTCCATCAAAGCAATGTATTAATGGAGGGGTTCATAACATCACCTTTCCTCACCTAATGTTTCGGGAAAAATATTTTTGAATTCAATTTATTAGATAGCAAAAAAAAAAAAAAAAAATGTTTTCTACAAATGCCTATGTACTTGCGATTACCAAAAAGAGATTATTCAAATGTATATATACAACATTGATTTATTTTTTGATGGATTATACACATTTTGTCTTGAATTCATTTTGGATCAATAACTTACTGAGAATAAATCAGTGTTCGAATTCAACGACAACTGATTACGAAAACCATATGAATGAGCACAGAATTCGCATGGAGATTCAATTCTAACCCAAGAAAAATCAGGCAAAAATATATTTTATACTCATTCAAACAAATTTATGAAAACCAAAAACAACTATTCAACTTACTTTTTTGGCATTGTATTGACATATGGCATGACAACTTTGTCAACAAAGCTACCAAATCCAAGTCTAAAATTTGAGGTAATATTTCGCATGCTTTCAGCCAATAAATTTCCAAGAGCGGATAATTTTTCTTTGTCGTCTTCCATTGAATTAGATAAGTCCATCAAATAATATAAGTCCACAGGATAATCTTCCGCTTGTGCATAATTTACAGTTATTCTATGGGCTTCATCTAAAAATAATGTCATAAATTGTTATGAATATATACAATAATACAATATTTCAGAAAATAGCTTACTTATTCTAAGCTTAAGAGATACTTGTTGAGGAGAGATTTGTACAGCATCGTGTGTTGAACTTGCTGCTGATCCTTTAGAAGTCGAAGAAGAGGAGCCACTGGAACTACTAACACTAGACATATAAGAATTTGTATTTTTCCTGGCTTTTTGAAGTTCACGAGAATCCAACATCTTGTACTCATTTTTAGGATTATTAATATAGCGTTCATTACATTGTATCATGTTAGAGTTAATGTTTGATTGAAAACATCGTTTTCCATCAAATTTCTAAAGATAAAAAATAAAATTGCAATAATTTATAAAGTAATGAACAAACTTATAATAAATATAAATATTGGTGTTTCATAAACACTGTTAAAATAAATTGTTATGATTAAAACACGACAAAACAAAGAACATATATCAATGACAAATGTTTTTTTTTTGCTGAACGTACCGGTTGTGCACACCAAGCGCACGTTGGAGTTTGTATACATTCATGACAAGTCTGTTTAAGAACACAAGGATTCTGTCTGATTAATTGCTGTTGTATTTCATCTGCATAACAAAAGCCTAGTGTCAACAAGGCAACTGTCAAAATCATCATCATTAGTAATTTATTCATTTTGTTCGAATAATCTGAAAAAAAAATAAAAATTTTAATAAAAAATTAATTTTATTGTTATAATATATAGGTAGTATTTAATAATGCGTTACTAAATTAACAATCGATGAAAATATTTAAATTTATATTTTTTAACCAAATCATTTTTATAAAATATAATATTTTAAAACAAAGCAATATTTGGTCAATACTCAATAAGCCTTGTTTAAAAATAATACTCCACCTATGTAAAGAGGTGTGTTCATTTTTACGCCTACTATAAATAGATTTGTATATGCTTCGGTGTTTAATAGTGGAAATATAGTGGAAAGAAACTAGTTATGGGAGAAGGAACCCCAATATAACTTAAGATTGTTTGACAAAAGTAAAAAATACAAAAACGCTCATAAAGACTAAAGAGTATGAAGAGTATGAAGAGTTCGAATAGGCGAAGTCGAGTAAAATTTTAGGCAATTCATAAAAGCATTAGGGCATATCGCATATAGAAATAATGTTACAGTAAAGTTGTAAATTGTAATATATATTATATTATTTATACACTGTGCACAGTTTAATTGTTATATCGTTATATGATTTCATGAATAATACGACAAGGACACAAGGTGCGTGAAAGTAAGTAATGAAGTATACTGAAACTGAAATAGTGAGGTCTTAAGTGTTCGTAGAAAATGAAAATTGAAATGTACAAAAAAATATCTTTGAAAGACACCAGGCATTTGTATTATTGATGAAAATAAATATACGATTATTTCTAATACCTACGCACGTCAATAATGTACCGGATGATAACAGTTATAATGGGATCACATAGAATGATCGAGAACCATAAATGGAAACGTCACGTTGCGCACGTATTCCGTTCTAAAAACACAGAAATCGCGATGTTTTTAATGTGCGTCATAATTTTCTAAGCAATTTTAGAATTTAGATATCCGCTATCCGCTTGGGCGTAGTAAATAAAAGTTGTAGCTTGTAACTTATACAAGGCCTTACCCTTACGAAACAAGAAATATTATGTGGGAGGGGCTTATATCGTGTTGATAGCTTATACCACCGGCCAACCCCCAAATCGCTCAAGTCGTACTCAAAATTTGACATTAGATAGACACCAAGTTGTTTTCGAATGAAATTCGATTAATACGAAGACGTATAAGTGTAGAACGAAACGAATCTTAGATCGCAACGGTACCCGTTTATCCATTGTCGTACAATCTCTATTAATATTTACTTCCGCCGTCTTCCGGAACTGTTGTAATCACGTTTTAAATAATATGTACAATAATATAATAATAATAACATAATATTTTCTTATTCTTTATTTCGTTCATTCGTTGTATTTTTCCCGCGTTGCGCATTATGACTTATAAGTTTTTGGTCGTAAAATAGGAATGCGTCTTTTGGCCTACATGGCTCATTAATGTTGCACAGAGTCGACGGCCGCCGCATAGAACCACACCAAGGTCCACCTCTTCACCACTGCCCACCCCCCCTCAAAAAAAAAAATATATATAAATCTCGTCCCATCCACCGGTATTGCAAGATGCGATCGCTGTTAACGACGCTGCCATATGTGGCGTTCACTAACGAAAATGCGACTCGCGGAGCCGACAAACGTAACGTTTATCTCGGAAAATGCCGACGTCGAGTGACAAAAGCCTAGTCCGCGACTAGCACGCGACCCTGGCTCCGTTGGCGACCGACAAATGATTGAAAAACACGAACATGTGTCGTCGACGACGGCAGGTTGGGTGGCAATGCGTGGAAGGCGGCGCGAGGGAGACGGCAACGACGGCGTGGCCCGGACGAGGTGGCGCGGTCGGTACTTCATAGTCCATACAACAAAATAATGAACAAACCGACTTTATAGTTTATACGTCGTGGGCGCCTGGTGGAAACCAGTCCGTTCCCACACGACCGCTGGGCGCCTGGGCCGCGTACTGCTGCAATAAATTGCTGTCCGACTAGCTATTATTTTACTATGATACGATTTTTTTTTTACCATCAAAATTCGCCGCCGAGACAGAAACGCGTTATGACTTATGATATTATCAACAATTCCAAATTCTTATAACTACGGACTACGACATTTCCCAGTCTATTCAACGGGTTTAGTGATCAATATTGCTTTTATCCAAAACAAATCTACGATTTTCGCTTTTGGCAAGAAAATCCCAAAATCTGACAATTATACATCATTTATTAATCAATTGTCCTACTCTTTTCTCTTAACTCAATTTAAAAAAATTGTTTTCCTCTCACGGTTCCATCTTCTCTAATATTCATGCTCTTTTCTGTAACAGGGCCGCTCCAATTAAAGCCGTACTACATTTAATTCCCCATAGGTCATGTATGAGTTTACATATTTTAATATGTATGATAATTTATTTGAGTATTTGAGTATTTGTTTGACAAAAAAAATAAATTATTAGGTACATATAAGTATATAACTATATAAGTAATAAACATATTACACAATGGGATTGAATTATGGAAAATAATTTTAGTTTTGAAAACAATTGCTGGAAATAAATTATATGATCGTGAATTGAAAATTAAATTTAACTATAACTATAAGGTGGGAGGGAATGAGGGAAAAATCTTTGACATTTTTTATCGTCTCAACTTGCTTCACCTCTTCCACGGCCGTAAGCCGGAAATTGCGTTGTGTTGGCGATTATTTGTTTCGTGAAACGCGTGCGCATTTATCAATGAAATCATAGGATAAAAATATACAGATATTCATGTCCCCACCACCGCTAGACGATCACGTCACGCGTGACGATTGTACGAGAGTGAACAACAAAAGGGGTAAAAGAATGGTTTTTTCCTCTTCTCTATTCATCTTTAAAGGTCGCGGCAATGACGAGGTGTAAACTATTTTTCTACCTCCACCTGTTGTCGCGTACTCAGACAGCAAGGATTTAAAAAAAAATACCAGTTGAACGGCCACAGCCTTATAAGGATTTGATGGACAGTTATCCGGTGCATACGCGTGAGTGAGCGTGTGCGCGCGAGACTATGCATGTGTGTTACGGTTATGCAGGACCGGCTCAAGCGAAAATAGTGAACTAGGCGAAATCAAATTTTGCCGCCCCTAATAATATAATATTATCAGTATTTTGAAAATGCCGCCGTCTTACTAAAGTGCTGCTTATGTGCCGCCCTAGGCGTGGGCCTATGTCGCCTACCCCTTGAGCCGGGCCTGCGGTTATGCGATATCATATTTTCGTAACAGCTCGACACAAAATTACAAAACACTGTTTAGACCGAAAAGGCGAAAACCCACGGTCGTGATTGTTAATTACTGAATTAGGGAGACATTGACAACTTATTACTGTCAAATTGATATTCACTTAAATATTATTTGCATGTAGTACACGTTAACCAGCCATAATTCGGTGAATAAGTTTTTAATTTTAGTTTCACCCTGTAAACATTTAGAAAAATGTAAAATTTAAGAGCATGCCCGAGTCTTGCAACAACTGAAGCCTATAAGCCTATAGCAGCAAGCGCTATTACTATCGACGCAGGTTATTGCTTATTAGGCTAATGGGTTAGCGTTAGCTGAAGTTCTTCTTCCGTTCACGTTTTGATAACCCGCTATAAGATCGATCGGCAACGGGTGTCGTTATTATACTATCCATATTAAACCAATTTATTTTGTTTTTTGTACTCTACGTAGACGTATCAACGTATCGGTATCGTCGTCATAGTGCACATTAAAGACTGTACAGGACATTCCACCGTCGAGGTAAACCGTATTATTTTATTGGGTTAGGTTTAGGTATATTTGTACCAATCGTGGAATCAATTACAAATAGTTTTTAATTTACAAGTATAACATTCGAACCATTATCTATTTTCTATGTTACTATTTGCGTATGATATAAATCGTTAACGTTTAAAATATTATATTATAGGTCGTATCCTATAAGTCACAAAATAATCAATAATAATATTTTTCATTCGATTTAGAACAAAATTTATTATAGGCAATTTTAAATAATTTATGTGATACCCTCAAATAACCAACAGATATGTCTGAATAAAAAGTTTAGGTTTATTATACCACCTTATGTCTTCAAATAATTTAAGGCCGTAGTGCAACTACTCAACTACTGGTAGGGTTACTGGTCAGAAGTGTCGATAGCTGGGGCAATCAATATTAGCAATGGTGTCATAATAAGGGGCCCATAGGCGCAACTAGGGTAGCTAAAAATTCTGGGGCTACACCTCAACTTACAAAAATATTTATTTAAAATAACCCATAGGGGGCTTATATCTAAATCAATAAGAGTTATTTTGGGGGAGGCTAAATCTTATTTAGGGGACCAGAGGGCTAAGCCCCCTTAGTTCCGTCGCTCAATTAAGGGCCCCTACTGCCCCATCCAAACCAACAATAACTTATTTCCTTATTTGATTATCAATTTCACAACAAATAGGTATCAAAATCATAATATTTTGATCAATGAAAAAAGTTTTACGAAATACGTTCCAACCAATCCGTTAGGCATTAATAATAATAAAGTAAAATTGTCGAGGGATCAATGTAGAAAATATATAATATTATATATTAGGTATATTGTATACTATCTGCGATCGGCATTAATGTGTCATCAAAATGTTATTCTATTAATAGTGTATAGTCACTAGTCAGTGATGTAGGTACTAAAGAAATTCGTGTGGATCCGGTATATTATTATATTATCGACGGCTTTTCACGTATATGTATAGCTATTTGACAATGATAAAAACTTTAAAATCAAGGAAAAAAAATATCCCTCTTAATTCGTAATAATATTATTTTATCCAACTCCTTATTTTTAAGCCTCAGCGGTGGCGGTAAATTGTGTGAGGCTGCATTTTAACTGCACCGCGATCGTTATTCGTTGCAGTGTGTAAAATGTAAATTAATATAACAAGACGTATTTGTTTTTACCTAACGGAGATCGTTTTGAATTGTAAAATAAAACATGATAATTGAAAGTACCTACGTTACA